CCATAACACACAAGGTGGTCCTTTTTTTTCCGTGAATCGAAGCGAAACGAGCAAGTAGCATTTTATTACGTCTCTCGATGCATGGAAGCTTCTTTTTTATGGCTAGTTTGATTACTAGTGATCAATAGTAGTCGGGCGTTTTCACGTAAGTGACGTCATCAGGACACCGTTTTTAAAATATCCTGTTCGTGGCGCAAATTGTGCGATAGATGTTTAATTTCTCGGTAACGTAAGTAGGCCAATGCTGCTGATAATCTTGACGTTTTACACGTTGTTACACATTGCTCTTTCACTCTGACATAAATTTTCATTTACCTTAATTTAGTGTCCCTTTATACGCATATCGCGACATTCTTTTTTTGTATTTATCTTTTTTTTCGCACGTTATTTTTTTTTTCGCAATCGTACGGAATAACCAATGTTGTTCTCAAGGGCAACCGACGCTGCATAAAAGACAGGACGCCAGAAAAAAATATAATTCGTTTTTATTTACACTAATGCCACGAAGCCAAGACTATCCACTCGGCTTCGATAGAGATAGACAAGGAGGGAAGAAAAAATATAAACGATGAAAACAGCGTGACATTAAAAAGAAACTCTTAACATGTAACTCGTATCACAGAAGTCACCCCATGGAAAAAAAAAAACTAACTAGTGTGCATTTGGCACTGGCACACACACCATTTCACTGAACGTTTTCTTGTTATTGTTTTACGTCTCATGCACCTTCCCCGAGCGGGCCAACTGGTATGGAAACCAGGTCATTCTCCACAGTCCAGGCCTGGACAGTGAAACCAAACTCTTAAATCAACTGTCACCAGAGCTATGTGTACAAACTGTTTGCTGCAGCATCTCCACTTCATGCTGTTAAAAGTAATATAACAATTGAGACATAGTAGCCATTTTCACCGACCAAAGATAACAGTTATATTGAGACGCGCAGCGGCACCCAGTGCGAAGTGCAACATGCTGTCCCTAATCAAAGTGGCGGCAGCATTGCCCGGTTGGTTCCAACATGAAAACTAGAAATGGAGTAAACACTGTTTCAACTTCTGGTATTTGAAAAAAAAATAAACTTTACATTGGGCCGGTGTTAGAGTACAGGCTTCAGCCACGCTACAACTCGCACCGATCACCGCTGTGCATAGTTTGAACAAATGCAGCAAAACGGGGCGATAGCAAGGAACCCAACACGACTTAAGCAGAACAAGTACACCTGCTCTATCACAAGGTGCCAACACGGCCTTTCAGCCTCTCCCATGCTTTTTCCTTTTATGTAAAACTTTTGAATTTCAGCAAACAAAACGAGGACAAAACCCTCTTTGATTTGGCAGCAACAGATTTTTACCCATTGACATTGCCTCTTCTTCCTTAACAGCCTAATCGTGCCCATGAAATAGATTTGTAACAGAAAGGCTTGAGCTGCTTGAACATTACGTGTGAAAAATGAAATCTTACGGCTATTAAATTCATCTAGAGGAAAGATAGCAAGGTTAAACAGCAAAAAATCGATTATTGAATCTTAAAAATACAGATATCGCATTGAGCTCCCGAATTTTCGCATTGCATAAATCAATTCATCGTAAATAGAAGGAAAAATCGAAGTATTGAAGTGCCACATTTATAATCTCAAAGCTCCACAACAATCCCATTGCTATTGGGTAACGTACACAAATTACAACATGAAATCAAACTCTCACATTCGACATACTGTTAAGCTTGCCCAAACCTTCAATGAATAAAACTACTGATGAGCCAATATTAACAAACTTAGACTTGTATATCTAGAAAACAATGCCTGGGTATTACACTATAATAGGAGATGGCAAAATGTAAGCACATTCAGTGAATCACCGGAACTCCTTTAGCGATTTGCGAGCTTGGTGTTTTGTCATACCCACATTAAGATTTTTCAGACTTTGAGAAACATTTCTCAGTGAGAAATACGGTATAAAAAAAAGAAAGGGAAGTATTTGCAGCAGTTAATACACTATAACTGACTAATTCATCTTAAAATTCAATGCTGAATCATTCGCAAGTTGGATAACAGGCCTTGTGTAATGAAACGTGCGTTATCTTTTAAAAACTGTTGCCCTGGTCATGTGGCCATTTTTTCGAGCGTTTCAGCAAGCAAATTACATAAGTACAAGCAAAAAGACGTGAATGACGCACACATCCATGTCAATCCAGCTCGCCCTTATCTAACGTGCATGTCAAAAAAACTAGAACATTTTCTGCGTTTCACATGCATTCAAAAAAGAGCATTCAAATCATTTCTGAGCTACAACTTTGTACAAACAAAATAACATTCAGTCTCTGGAAACCATCGCCCTAATACAGCCTTATTAAGCGATGCAATATAAGCTTGATGATCGAATCCCAGATGCCATACACTTTTTAGCAGAAGGGTCAGAGACGTCGAGAACAACAGAAAGCACGATGACATTATAAACACACGTAGAAAGACGATGCCTTGTACTGACTGGCGGCTGTATTGAACTATAGTAAGTGTATTTAATTGCTTGTCTGTCACAAAAATAAGTCCGTTGTCAGCCAGTACACTGTGTCGTCCTGTATAGGCTATCATTTTGTTGTTGCCCGAGTCGATGTGTTCATATTAATACATAAAGGACGACATGTATGTACATACAGATAAGCACTTGCACATAGATGCACACACACGTGCACACACATGAAAGCATCTGACACTCCAGGATAAGGTGAACCAGCAAGGCGAGCATCGCGAATCGTACCTATTAAAGTAACAAATCCAACTCTGGGAATACACAGACTCAAAAGTTATGCCAACGTCACTGTACTTCAGCATGGGGCTAAAGTTTAAAATGTTTTCGACTGCACACCTGAGCTCCCTCCGCCAAACGCTTACTTTCTCGTGCTTCTCATAACCCTAACTTCATACATTCCGGTAGGCAGGCAAACACAATAGCTGTGTCTTGAACTGGACCTTGACTAGCTGGAAGAGCTTGAAATTATTCCTGCTAAATGGAAACAAAATGCTAGCAAAATTCCTCATTGACCTAAGGGAGCTGTTTAGATATATGGCAATGCTTTTCTTTAGATGACGGCATTCTGTCAAATCTCCGACCGAGTGTCGTGGTCCTTCACCAGCTCTGCTGCCAGGTCATTCACACGCTAAACCCTGCTTCGGCATTGTCTCTTCTGCCACAAAGAGTAGCCGACCATTGCAGAAATAGTCACTTGACCGTCGGTTAGCTATCTAGTTGTATGCACAACCCAGCCTGTGTAATGAGACCTAACAAGTTCACATTGTTTACCAAGTTGACTGGCCAGCAAACTAGGGCAATTAAGGCAATGAATGCATTGGCTTTTTCGTACATTAGTTTTCAAAACCAATCCTCAGACAAGCTCCTGATTAGAAAAAAAAAAAAAAGCTGGAGCAGTGTATGATAAAGTTACGGTGCATTCTTCTGTCCTACTTCTTTTCTGCGTTAATTTGAGACTTTTGCTCAAATCCCACACCAAGAGCTATTCTTGACTGCATGAATACGAGAGGACGGAAATTGTCTGAAACTCTGTTCTTTGTTGTTCTTAGCCAGTGCCCCAAAATTCTACATCAGCACCAGTCTCCTCAACTATTACCTCAGTAGAATGACCTTTTTGGATAATCACAGACACCGTCCCTTCTAATCATGCCGCTGTCTGATAGTTGATTGATTGATATGTGAGGTTTAACGTCCCAAAACCACTATATGATTATGAGAGACGCCGTAGCGGAGGGCTCCGGAAATTTAGACCACCTGGGGTTCTTTAACGTGCACCCAAATCTGAGCACACGGGCCTACGACATGCTGTCTGATAGTGAAATCAACCAGTGCAACAATTAAAATTTCTACACCGAGGTACATTATACTTTATAGTGCCATCACTTTTGAAGCCTTGCAGACATTGAAGGCTTTGCCAGCACTCAACCAAGAGCTATTGACTAGTAACACTACCAGACTTTAGAACCTGCACAATTTGTCAAGTGCTGCACATGGGCTAAACGAGGAAAGCAAAGTACCTTGCCACTTAAGAACGTTCCCTATTAATTAACATTTAACGTGAAACGGTGAGCTGTCACTGGCTCTGCGCAATCATGTTAGGTTAGGACAAAAAGAAAAACCACTGTGCTCAAGAACCTAAAGTTTTGCATAACTCAAAAGTGGTTGTCGCAAATTATTATTACAAAAAGAAAGCTAAGGGTCACTGCAACCAACTCGTACTTGCTACGAGAATTTGCCTCTTGTATTACGGGGCTATTGCACTATATTAAGCTTTGCCCACAAGCGACCCTTAGCATTCATTAACCGGATAATTGCACTTGATCACAGATCAGGCACCTCAAACTGATGAGAAAAACATCTTGGAAAGTATAAGCCACTCATTTTACTTGCCAGAGACGTTACCAGCTAGAGAAATGATGTCAGTGTTCATTAGGATTAAGTACTCGACCACTATCTGCAGTTATTTTTTAAATAAGCAGCGTCATTCCATTGTCTTGACATCATGCTTTCGTTGTCGTGAATTATGTAGGGTCTGAAGTGGAAAGCGCATTTGCTATAAATGTCTAGACATTTACTACTCCTGAATCATTTGCATAAGACAAGGTCCCATGCAAGAAAACCTACAATGACTGACATAATTTAAAACTTGCTATGTTTTTACATGTGTTAAGAGACATGGCACCCAAACCTGTACAGAATGTGCCCCTCATTACAGCATTTTGCGACGAAGAATAAAAAAAAAATCCATATATTTGCTCGGGAGCAAGGCCTCAGTGCATTTGACACATTTTCCCTCAGGCTGAGGCTAATTTCTTCACGTAGAATGTATTACATGAACTTAAAAGAAAAATAAGTTATGGCAATCGACACATCTTTCGAGCATTTGAAGTTGACACATGAACTATTAAGTGGAGACATGCAATGGGATTAGGCGACAATGATGAGAGGCTGCACCTTATTCTTTTCTTCCTAAAATGTTGCAATACGATACATGCTCTTTATGAATTATGCGAGATCATTTTTGTTGGTTCATCTATCTGCCCTCAGCAGCAACAATGATGATAAAGTTGCGTGCCTGCTAACGCTTTGAATATTCATCCTGCTTTGGACATGCAGCCAAAAAAAAAAAAAGTTGTGGTGTGCATTTAACGAGTGCCTTGCAACTTGCTCGTATGGCAACAGTTGAATCCTGCTCAGATGAAAACCCTCTCTGAGACATCTTTTATGCGGGAGTTGCAGCAAGCTTGCAAAATGGAAATTGCCGCTTTTATGCAATGTAACCCGAGCGCTCGGTTGTCTGTTAGAAACAAGGCGACGCAGATTCCACGTGATAATGTTATGTAGGTGTTGGTGCCAGTGTTTACTAGGGGATGCTACTAGTCATAGAAGAGGTTGAAGTGTCTCGTGGCTCAGAATTGATCGTGTCACCCTTGCCTTAAAGCATAGATAGATATGTGGGGTTTAACGTCCCAAAACCACCATATGATTATGAGAGACGCCGTAGTGGTGGACTCCGGAAATTTCGACCACCTGGGGTTCTTTAGCATCCACCCAAATTTTATGCCTTAGGGCCTCTGCAACTGCAGCTCTACACGTATCATTTTGGTGGATGTGCTGCGACTTTTGTCCCCATGCTGCCGTGTCCACCACTTTAGGATGGTAATTACTTCGTGACTCCACTTCAGGATGGCAATTACGTTGTGTCTCTAGTTTGCGACAATGTACTAGAATGTCAAATAGCTCTCCCTAGCTCCATCACTTGGCTCATCAACAATTGTGCATGGCCTCCTCTCCTGAACATAGGCTCGTCGCCACAAGCTCTTCCTAATGGTGTATCTCTTGCTGTGCTGTCCCCTTTAGAAGGCTCGAGAGTATCAGCACTAAACTATGAACAACCATCTGCACTCGCTCGACCTACGGCTCTGACGACACCATCTAACGACAAGTTTACCAAAATGATAGCTCCTCACCTACGACCTTCTTATGCTGACGCCCTCAGTCCCATTTTGATGGCCTACGAAGACACATTTCATTTCGTAAATAAACTGCCCCCTAGGTCGAACCCACCTCGTTACTCATCCGGTCCACACTGGCAATGCTCCGCCCATCCATAGATGTCCCTATCGAGTGCCGGCCGCGAAACATCACGTCATACAAAAAGAGGTCATGAAAATGCTGTTCAATTGGACATTATTGAGCCCTCCTCCAGTCTACGGGCGTCCCCCTCCGTTTTAGTAAAAACGGACAATACTTGGAGGTCGCAAACCAGAGACACTTCAACCTCTTTTATGGCTAGTAGCGTCCTCTAGTCGACACTGGCACCAACACCTGGGTAACATTATTCTAGTTATCTTGGTGCCCACTGATAACAGTTGTTCTTGATAAGCACCCTGACTGTTTCTATCACCATGCTCATCGAAGAGAGCCAAGTCTTTCTGGCTAAAGAAAGCAAAAAAAAAAAGACCCAAAAACTTTGATTCTTTTTTTGCTTTTCAGGTACTTATTCCACAAGTGAGAACACAACGTTCTTGCTCACAGACACACAGAAATGTTTCACATTTATCATAAGCATGCGCGGAACCCACGCGGAAAACATAAAATACAACGCTTCAGGTGGCGCCAAGACAACGAAAGAAAGTGTCAGCATGTTTGCGGACCACGAAAACAGAAAAACGAAACAAACGTGAGACTACAAATGACGCACCGCAGAAATCGCAGCGTCGGACCTTGGACGCCAAGCTCAACTAACACGCTTTGACGTCGGCTCCCATAGTCCTGCCGCGAGGCGGCACAAACGAAGCGTTGTCAGAAAAAACGGCACAAGAGACACGGAAATGCACTTGTTCATTCGTCTGACTTGGAATGAGGATGCATTTTGACACGCGTAAAGAGAAAAAAAAAAAAAAGGATGGGGAAGAGGGAATAAAAATTAAACAAGTTATTTGTTAAATTGTTAATGGTACATTCAAATGACGTGCGCCGTGAAGTCGGCACCAGGTGTTGAGGTGGCGATACTGGAAAGACATGACTGAAGAGAAAAGATACATACTAACACTACATACACTTCCACGCTTTGACACTATCAGGTGCTCCAAGCACATTAATGCATACATGGCGTTGATGCGTGTCAAAGAGTCAATACATGCGTGTGCTTGAAAAGGTGGCTGGTGCCAGAAGCACGGAGTTCAGCCACACCACACGCACTTCAAGAAAACTATTCAGGCACATTTTTGGCAAAACAAAATTGTCACGAAAAAAAAAATCTACGCAAGAACTCGGCGACTTTGTGGAAGCTGCATCCACATGTTGAACAAAAACCGACGTTCCGTCCCAGTGGGGCACACGTTTGCCTCGCGGCACTGGCTCCAAAAATGGCAAAACGGCGACCACTCTGCAGTTCACTCAACGAATTACGCACTCGGCTTTTGGGAATGTAGACACCACAGATAACTTCCAACACACCGATGCTTCCATGGCGATCGTCTCGTTAATTTTTTCTTCGCACAGATGGAACCATGACATGCGTTGTACGGGGGGTTGTGAAGTCTAAGCATAGTCACCAGGTAATTAACACTCGGCCTTGGCGAGGCAAGAGCGCAACACACGATAACTTACACGTGCACCTTGTTTGACGTCATACTCCTCGAACGTGCACTTCACTCAAATTTTCGTCGCACCTTCTTCGGTGCAACAGACACACATCTGGCCTTTTGTGTGTCCACAAAGTGAGGCGAGGTCATCGCTGCAGTTCACACACACAAAAAAAGTGCACCGCGCACTTTCGAAATTCCCCTCGTTTCGTAGAACACTGAGGAAATATAATATTTTAAAAACTCCAAGCCTCTGCCATGGAAGCCCAAGACTCAATGCTTCAACTGTACAATAACATAACTAAAGAACCTCTCGGTACTTTCAATAATGCTAAGAGCAGCCCATTTCAGTTCTGGCTGCAAAACGAAGAGTTATATACAGAACAAACCACATGATATTGGCGTCTCGTGTATCAGAGGCTGGCCCACTGCCTTTATCAGTGGACCATACTTAAATTTGCACTGACGAACTCATACCACTTACGTTATAGATAGGTTAAGGAAGGCTACACAAGGGAACATGCCCATAGTAATCTTGATGCTGCTGTGACTGATCGACTACTGAAGTCCTTTTCAATTGCCATGCGACAGCAGCACACGTCGTACCAGGACGTGAAAAAAAATTCCGTGTCTCTACCTCGCATAACAAGCTTCCGCAAAAGGCTCACAGCTCCCACTTCACTAGCCTACGGGCCATCCTTTATAGCCAAGGCCAGTACTTTGTATAATAACCATGTGCTATAATAGCACGGGGCCCATATAGAGTGTTTTCTCACGCTCAAGCTCCGATTACACTTGGAAAAACTTTGTCGGCGATGCTCAGAGCCAGTGAAGGTAGCATGTACGGGCCTTCAGTGTCCCCGTGTTAGTGCTGTTCTGTCATGGTTCTGCACCGGGAAGTCGTTTGTACATGACTATGGCACTGGCCTTAATCGTACAAAGACTGAAAAAGGTTGCGTCATTGAATAACAGTAGTGAGGGGTTGCAATGCTTAAGATTACACACTCATACGATACTCTCCGTTGTGTCCTCAGCACTTTCACACACTAGCCTGGGCAGTCCTCCGCCGACATCCACTGCCACTGAGTCCCAGTCACGCGACTTATCGCGTGACGCGCCTACACGTAGCAGGCCGGTGAACACTTTCTTCAGCTTGTCGTGGGTGGGTGCGAGCGCGGCTATCTCGTCGCACGAGCGCCACCGCTTGGCCGCGTCCTCGGCGAGTGACAGCAGGTGGCCTCCGCCATTGCCGTTGCAGTTGGTCGACGCGTCGCGCAGCAGCGGCCGGGCACTTTCGTCCAGGCTCTTGAGTCCGTTCTTGCCCCGATCAGTGGCCCACTGCCGGGCCCTGATCATGGCTTGATCCGAGTTCGAGCAGCCGAACTCGTCCTTAATGCACGGCGATAGCGTCGACTCGTTTCGGCGTGGCAGAATGAGGCCCCCACCGTCGAGGTCGGCCACACTGTTCGTGCGTGACGACGGGGCCTCGAGGAACTCGTGCCGTCGCGGGCCCTTGTACGTGAACGAAGACTCCCGCGATGGCTTGGGACGCAGGATGCCCGGGCTGTCCTGCTTTAGCCGGTGCAAGGCCTGCATGCGCAAAAATGTGCGCTTCAGTCACCATAACATCACAAAGATGCTGCAATTGAGTATTTCAAAGAGAAAGTTGCAACGACAGAAATGGACAAAGGGAGGTACACCTATGTTGCTCTCTACATTGCCGTCGTCGCCCCTTACACTTTAAACAAGACACCCACCCACTCATTCATACTTACAACAAATGAAAGGCTGCAGAGGCCCAGGGCCATTGGCATAAGCTACGGCTTGAGCAGCTATTGGTTATATACGCCTAAGATCAGAGTCCAAGTACTGTCAATCACATAGCAGTATGCCGAAAATAACTGACACCTGTTAAGTAAATGACCACAGAGAGGTCGAATCACAATATTAGAAACGCTTACATAACAAAAAACGAGATCCAGATAAGAAAGAAGCTCGCTGGGGTACACAGAGGCTTAACAGTTACGGGAAATAATTGAACTGGGGATATCACAGGAGCCAATGTTTCAAAAATAGGGCGAGTCTCTTATCAGGGCAGCATTCCTTTGTAGCTTTCCTTATATACACCTCATTCACTCTCCCATAACCTGATTGGCTGCAGGAGAAGCATTGAGTTTCAACAACTGAGGTTAGAGAAGAATGAGCAACTTGTACGTAAACATGTTGCAGGGGCAGGTAGTTGGGCAACTCCTGTTGATGAAACATTTGCTTTGGCAACATTCCCTGCTAAATGATTGCTCACTACACAGTCAATATATAACAAACTGATCATTGCCCCATCACCGTAAAGTTTAGCAAGTACACATCTATTACAAAGTTATTTTTGTGTCCCATGCAACAAATTTTCATCAAGATGGTTCGGTACTCCAGTACAATTACTCATGTCAACTAACCAATGCAGCAAGTTGAGTGAAAACTGGAACCAGCAGCTCCAATTATGATTAACTTCTTCAAGGTAAAAGGAAGAGGGCAAATGAACTGAGGGCTTGTTTGATTGTTAGACACAACCTAATGAAATGAAGAAGGCTGTAGGGCCGGACATTATCTAAAGTCTTTAACTGTAGTATTGTAATAACGACATAAATGCAAAGAAACTGAAGTGGACAAAAAAGCAACATTGTCACTGGTACGGACTGAACCTACTACCTTTGGATAATGCATCCGATGCCCTAACGAACGACGGACAGTAGAAGCGTGGCCCGAAATTTTTTTCACGAGGGACAGGAGGGTGTCACAACAATACTCTACGCATGTACGTGCATGTGTTCGTACATGTGCGAGAGTATATAATACCCATGCAAAAGTTTTAAACTTGGGTAAGGGAAAGTTCGAACCCTACCTTACTCTGAAGTCCCTGAAAAAAAAAATAATAATAAAGCAGCGCCAATCACACCCCTTCACCTCTACCTCCCCTCCCTGCAACCACAGCAGTGCCTCTAGAAGGTCCACCAGGAAACTATGAATGCGAAAGCACGGGGGCGCACTGGACATGTGCCGGACACTTGGGCAGCTCGGGCACTGCTGCTCCGTGTGTTCATCGAGCGGCCATGCCTCGGGTATGCTGAAAGAGTACGCCGGCACCGTCTGTTCGTAAAGCACGCACTCGCGAAAGTGGACAAACAATATTGCGTTTGCAATACCTTCACAAAAGCTAGTGCGTCATGCTTCAGATTCTTAGCACCATAGAATTATTAACTCTATGCTTAGCACCGCCTACATTACACGGGCAGCAGTGGCGCTGCCATCGACAGCGTCACCACTGAGTGCGTCTGCACGCAAACGGTGGGCTATTGCGTTGAGTATTGCAAGCTTGCTGTGATCTTTTTTGCCACTGCATGCCACTTGCAATATATACATCGTCGTATTTAATGTTACTTTTTATATAGTTTTTTTCGTTCTCAATCTCTCTTTCGGTGCATCGCCTAGAACCGCAGCGCCCAAATGAGCTTTAACAGAAAGATGAGCACACGCCCATCTTTGCGGCCAGGAGCCATTCAGCCCCTCAGCTAGCGTCATTTACTATCTGCTATGCACGCGAGATGAGAGGAGCCTGCACATTGACACGAATGGGGCTACTTTGGTTTTTTTTTTTTTTTTCAGGGACTTTACCTTACTCCCCATGGCTACGTCAGTGACCTATGGTACTGGTTGCTCACCCATTCAGCTCATTGCCAGGTTTACATGCGCAGAAAAACCCAGTGTTTTTACTTTTTTTTAACCTGGCGGTGTTATGCAGCACGAGATCGTTTTATGAGCTTGCAGCTGGCATCAAGGTGAATGGATCCCAAAGCATGCTTACCTGGATACCACCCATCACGGAGCCATTCATGAGTGCCGTCCCCAGAAGGTCGGTGTCATGGTCCGGCAATTTCGGGATGAGTGACCCCCGCCGAGGCAGGCCCTCTGTCTTGGGGCTCCGGTGGGGCCCCGCCATGGCACCTCCCAACGAGCCGCTGTCGCCCACATTGAACAGTGGCGCTAGCAGGAACTGGTTACCATCCTCGGCACGACGATGCTGAGGTCCGGCCTTGTGGCCCAGCAGCCAGTAGGTGCGCAGCTCACCTTTGCCCTGCATCAAACCGAGACAAAGTGCTTGGTGAAGCAAAAAAATAACAGGCACCCTTACGCATTCACGTGTAGCGAGATGCAAGACAATGAGAGGGCCGCCGACGCGGCTGTGCCGATTTCGTTCCTTTATCTCTGTAGCCAAAGCAGAGTGACGGGTGCTGTAGCGGGCGAACCACCAGCAGCACGAGCTCGTTCTGTTCTGCTAGCCCCTCGACTTAGGCATGAGCTGCGCGAGAGGGGCGACGTGGTGGTGGGTAAGTGGTGATGATGACGAATGGCGATGACGATAATGCTACAAAATTAAGACAACTTGAAGGCGAAAGGCATCTCTTTCTTCTCAATTGATGTGTCACTCCTGCCTTGCTGCCCATCAAAAGCTTTCAAACACTTGTGGTTTTGAACTGTCTCCATGATAGGCCCACTTTTAGAATGTGACGATGCGATACCATGATGTCATATAGTGACCTGATGTCGTGATGAGGTACCAAACTCTTGGTGATCTGCGACGTCCATCACGTCACGATGACATTTTCATTTGCAAATCCCTTGTGTGTGCCAACAACTAAGGATGCTGGGCGATTCTCCCGTTTGACGAGTTGTGCAAGGCTTTTGCCTTAATAAATAAAAAACATGCACAGTGTTTTCAGCAGCCACTGACTTGGGTTACTGTCGGCTACTATCATCACCATCATCATCATCAGCCTGACTACGTCCACTGCAGGACAAAGGCCTCTCCCATGTTCCGCCAGTTAACCCGGTCCTGTGCTTGCTGCTGCCAATTTATACCCGCAAACTTCTTAATCTCGTCTGCCCACCTAACCTTCTGTCTCCCCCTAACCCACTTCCCTTCTCTGGGAATCCAGTTAGTTACCCTTAATGACCAGCGGTTATCCTGTCTACGTGCTACATGCCCGGCCCATGTCCATTTCTTCTTCTTGATTTCAACTATGATATCCTTAGCCCCCGTTTGTTCCCTAATCCACTCTGCTCTCTTCTTGTGTCTTAAGGTTACACCTACTATAATTCTTTCCATTGCTCACTGTGTCGTCCTTAATTAAAGCTGAACCCTCTTTGTAAGTCTTCAGGTATCTGCTCTGTAGCTAAGTACCCGCAAGATACGGCTGTTATATACCTTCCTCTTAAGGAATAGTGGCAATCTACCTGCCATAATTTGAGAGTGCTTGCCAAATGTGCTCCACTCCATTCTTATTCTTATAGTTACGTTAACCTCGTGGTTCGGCTCCGCGGTTATTATCTGCCCTAAGTAGACAGTCTTTTACAACTTGAAGTGCACTATTACCTATCTCGAAGCGCTGCTCTTTTCCAAGGTTGTTGTACATTACTTTCGTTTTCTGCAGATAAATTTTAAGACCCACCTTTCTGCTCTCCTTGTCTAACTCCGTAATCATGAGTTGCAATTTGTCCCCTGAGTTACTCAGCAATGCAATGTCATTGGCGAAGCGCATGCTACTAAGGTACTCTCCATTAACTGTTATCCCTAACTGTTCCCATTCTAGGTTTCTGAAAACCTTCCGTAAGCACGCGGTAAATAGCATTGGGGAGATTGTGTCCCCCTGCCTTACACCCTTCTTGATTGGTATTCTGTTAATTTTTCTATGAAGCACTATGGTAGCACTTGATCCCCTGTAGATTTCTTCAGGGATGTTTATATATACTTCATCGACGCCCTGATTTCGCAGTGTCTGCATGACTGCCGATATTTTTACTAAATCAAACGCCTTCTCGTAATCAATGAAGGCTTTGTATAGTGGTTGGCTATATTCTAAGCATTTCTCTATTACCTGATTGATAGTATGAATGTGGTTGATTGTTGAGTAGCCTGTTCGAAATCCTGCTTGTTCCTTTGGTTGATTGAATTCTAATGTTTTCTTTACTCTGTTAGCAATTACCTTTGTAAATAGCTTATATACTACAGAGAGCAAGCTGATCGGCCTGTAATTTTTCAAGTCCTTGTCATCTCCTTTCTTATGGATTAGGATGATGTTAGCATTCTTCCAAGACTCTGGTACCCTTCCCGTCAGGAGACACCTCGTAAACAGGATGGCTAGTTTTTCTAACGCAATCTCTCCTCCATCTTTCAGCAGATCCGATGTTACCTGATCTGCACCAGCAGCTTTGCCTCTTTGCATGCTCTCCAAAGCTTTTCTGACTTCTCCTATCATTACTTGTGGGGTGTCATTTGGGTTACTGCTAGTTCTTATAGTATTAAGGTTGTGGTTGTCCCGGCTACTGTACAGACCTCTGTAAAGCTCCTCTGCTATTTTAACTATCCTATCCATATTGGTAGTTATTCTGCCTTCTTTATCCTATTTTTGCCTATCCCAAGTTTCCTCTTCACTGCTTTGACGTTTCCTCCGTTTTTCAGAGCGTGTTCATTCTGTCCATGTTATATCTTCTTACATCACATGCCTTACGCTGATTAATCAACTTCGAAAGCTCTGCCAGTCCTATTTTGTCTGTTGTACTTGAGACTTTCATGATTTGACGCTTGTTAATATGATTCTTTGTTTCCTGGGAAAGCTTGCCAGTGTCCTGTCTAACTACCCTGCCTCCAACTTCCCCTGCACACTCCGTAATGTCACTCGTCAGATTATCATTCATTGTATCTACGCCAATGTTGGTTTCCTCACTAAGAGCCGAGTACCTGTACTGAAGCGACAGTCTGATTTCCTGTACTTTCCCTCTCGGTGCTAGCTCATTGACAGGCTTCTTGTGTATCAGTTTCTGTCGTTCCTTTTTCAAGTCTGGGCAAATTCGAGACCACACCATTCTATGGTCACTGCATCGTACCTTGCCAAGCACTCCCACATCCTGCACGATTCCTGAGTGTGCACTGATTGTAAAGTCTATTTCGTTCTTATTTTTGCCATTAGGGCTCCTCTATGTTCACTTGCAGTTTCCTCATTTTCGGTAGAAGGTATTCAAAATCCGTAAATTATTGCATTCTGCGAATTATACTAGCAGATCTCTGGCGTTTCTAGTACCAATGCCATAATCTCACACTGCCTGGTCTCCAGCTTGCTTCTTCCCTACCTCTGCATTAAATTCTCCCATCAGTATAGTATACTGTGTTTTTACCTTACTCATTGCCAATTCCATGTCTTCATAGAAGCTTTCAACTGAAGCGTCATCATGGCTGGATGTAGATGCGTAAGCCTGTACCACCTTTATCTTGTGTGTTATTCAGTTTAATTACGATACCTATTACCCTTTCATTATTGCTATAGTATTCCTCTGTGTTGCCAGCTATGTTTCTGTCAATTAGGAACCCCACTCCCAGTTCTCTTCTGTCAGCCAAGACCGGATACCAAAGGACGTGCCCATTCTGTAGCACTGTATATGCCTCATCTGTCCTAATCTCAGTGAGCCCTATTATATCCCACTTAACATCTTCTAGCTCCTCAAATAGTACAGCTAGACTTTCCTCACTAGATAAGGTTCCAGCCTTAAACGTTGGCTACTATAGAGGGTTGCATATTGCTATAAATTCAGGAGCCCTCGACCTTTCTGGGAAAATGGGGGGCCAGCAAAGGTGCGTGCAGGGTTCTCGGTTAAAGAAAAAAAGAGGGGAGCTAATTTTACTGCATCCTCCCCTTCCCTCATTGCTTTAAGTCCAAAGCAAAACAAATTACACAATGAGTGCAATGATGAAAATAAAGCTTTGAATTAAACATTAGGTGTCCTCGATTCCCATTATAATAAAATAAACACGAGTACCCTTTATCCTGCGCAATAAAAATTGACGCGAAAGGTCAGACTGAGTGAGGTTGTAAAGTAAAATTACCCCCCCCCCCCCCCCCCTCCTTCAGGTGACTAGGCACTGCTCTGCAACCCAACTGTACCAAAAGGAGGCAGCTTGTATTACCACAGCAGCTACTTTGTTAATTAACCCCTTTGCTAGCACTTTGTTGAGATAACCCGGTCCAAATTAATTTATTAAATAGAATAACTCTTTATATATATATATATATATATATATATATATATATATATATATATATATATATATATATAATATAAAATAAGGGAAAGAAGTGTATACCTAAGGGCTCGTTTTTTCCGTGTTTTAACACAATATTAATGAGATCTAACAGACAGTAATGCCAAGGAATTCCTTGGCATAACTTGGCGTACCTTGGCATTACTGTCGGTTAGATCTCATATATATATATATATATATATATTCAAGAGAAACAATAAACTTCTTGAAAAGTGATGGATAGCTTCAGAAACTGATATTGTACAGTAAAATCTAGTTAATTTGACCCCCGTTAATTCAAAATTTCGGTTCATTCGGCAACGGAGTCTGGTACTGTCCGAAATGTACATTGTTCTATGACTGAAAACTCTCAATATTTCAGACAAATTCGGCCGTGCATCAGTTAATTGAAACGCCCGACCGTGGCCGAGTCACGACGGGGAAGCAGCAGCGCATTCTGTCGGCCAAATCGACGGAGCACCTAAGCAACTTTGGGATCGAATTGCGGCCTCTGAGATTGAAAACTTTGTCCATGAATAGTACATCTCAGAGGCACCAAAAAAAACACACACACACGCACATGGTGGTTTAAACAACCTAAATGGAGGTAGTGCATCACTACTGTCATCAGAAATAGGCAACCCATGGACTTGCCTTTCCTTGTTTTTTTTGCGCGTCAAACACGTTTGCGTGACGGTTGAGTTGAATTGCTCGCCCCGCCACGATAGTCTAGAGGCTAAGGTACTCAGCTGCTGACCCGCAGGTCGCGAGATCGAATCCCGGCTGCGGTGGCTGCATTTTCGATGGAGGCAAAAATGCTGTAGGCCGGTGAGTTCAGATTTGGGTGCACGTTAAAGAACCCCAGGTGGTCAAAATTTCCGGAGCCCTCCACTACGGCGTCTCTCATAATCATACGGTGGTTTTGTAACAATAAACTCCACATATCAATCATCAATGAGTTGAATGGCTCATCTCTAGTATGCTTTAAATTATTTATCTGTATGTGATCAGTGCCATCTGCAGTCTTACTTACTGCAGTTTTACTGTTTTTAGAAAAGTTCGCCGGTTTTTATTTCGTTTTTATCACCGTGCATTTTTGTGTGTGTGGGTTTCTGTTGTCTCCTTCATGCGCGCGTGTGACCACCGCGAGAGTGATGCTGGGATGGCTTTCCCCCCATCTCTTGTGGCCCCAACCGCACCAACTCCTGCAGCGAAGAGGGCGAAGTACGAAGCGAGGGATTAGGCTGCAAAGGTGAAAATATTGAAGGCGTTGCAAGTGGGAGCATTTCCAAAAGAAGTGATAGAAAAGTTCAATGTGAAGAAAAGCACGCTGAGCACGTACGTGAAGAACAAAGAGCAGATTATGCAAGCATATGACGGGGACATGTTTGGCGACCAAAGGAAAAGGCTTTGAACGGCAGCGCACCCCAAGCTACAAGAAGCGCTGTTCTGCTGGATTGCTATTTCACGCGATGCGCGATTGCCCTTGAGCCGCTCCCTTTTGTGCACAATCAGAGAAGTTTGCAGATACCATGAACATTGACTCCTTCAATGCGTCAGAAGGCTGGTCCGACTGGTTCAAGAAGCGACATGGGCTGGTGTTCCGCAACGTGTGTGGTGAAAAAGGTGCGATTGAGTAAGTGTTGTGCAGGACTGGTGGTCTGGACTATCTGCACGCCTTTCTTCGTACGAGCCGTGCAACATTTTCAACACTGATGAGACAGTGCTGTTTTATAAGGCTCTGCCTGACAAGACAATCATGTTCAAGGGGGACCCATGCATCGGAGGAAAACAAAGTAAGGAGCACGTGACAGTTCTTCTGGCTGCTAACATGACCGGCACAGAGCGGCTGCCACTGCTGGTGATCAGGAAACATCTTGTGAAGCCAAGATGTTTCAAGAATATTAAGCAGCTTCCTCTCGACTACCGGTTCAACAGAAAGCCTTGGATGACTGCCGAACTCGCGAAAAGTGAATAGTGATTCTCTTTCCGCGAGTCATCCAAGCCTGGCTGCGTAAGCTCGACCGCCGCTTTGCGGCCATGGCTTGAAAGGTGTTGTTCGTGCTAGACAACTGTAGTACGCCCACGAAGGTGTCCGGGCTCGAGAACATTGAACTGCTATTCCTGCCTCTGAACACAACGGCTTCCCTGCAACCGATGGACCAGGGAATCGCACAGTTCGTGAAAAGCTGCTATCAACGGCAGGTACTCGAGCAGATGTTGCTCTGCATGGATGTCAGGCACGCAGTACGAAATAACCCTGCTAAGCGCAGTCCACATGCTGACATACGTGTAGAACAACAGACCGCCTGCAGTAGTCGCAAACTGCTTTAGGCATAGAGGCTTCGTTCACGACGCTGCTGATCCGGGTGTGGTGGCCGATGAGGAAACCAGCGAAAAGCAGACGGCTACTATGTGAGCATCATGCCAGCTGGGTTGCCCCTTGGCGATTGCTTTGCAATTGACAGCGATGTTGCCGTGGCCGGCACAGTCACCGACAGCAATATTGTTGCCGAAGTCTTGGACGGCACAGGGGAATCGGCTTACGAGGGCGTAAGTGATGCTGCCGAGCATCCACGCCGCACAATGACGAAGGCTGCGCATGCGTTGGTCGTTTTGGAGGACATATGTATGCTTTCCTCGGATAGTGCACACAAACTAAGCCACCTGCAGGAACTTCGCGAAATTGTGACTTCGTCACACATTGCGTCTGTAAAGCAAACCGCGATCACAGATTTTTTAGAAGAAATAAAAGTCTGATGGTGTAGAAGACATTTTTCAAGTGTTTTGTTCGTATCCGCGCTAATTCGTACCCTCTGTTAATTCGGACATTCTCTCCGGTCCCGTGATGTCTGAATTAATGGGGTCGTACTGTACAATGAGCACAGATGGCACGATAAGGTAATAGCATTACTCACTTACCTTCATTTTAACAAGGCCCCGGTCAGCGATGTCATATCCACCAATTTTCACAAGCAGGTCTCTGCACTGGCTGCTGATGTGGATTTTTAGAGCTGTGGAAAAAAAAAAGTAAAGAAGCCGTTTCTCACAATACAGAAATTGCTTCACTGGTGGCCTGAGCGTGTCAAATAAAAAAAAAGTTTTGTGACATTGCTAAAAAGTACTCGCATTATTTTCTTGCCTATTGCAATTACAGTCGACGACGGATTTTTCGGACCCTCAAGGGACCGCGAAAATGTCCGAAAAATCGGGCAGTCCGAAAAAGCAAATGTGCCCCAAAAATGCTCATTTTATTGGTTACTATCGAGATGGAGGGCGGAAAAAGTGATCGATCCTCTTCTGGACCATGCTTCCCTTCCATGCGAGCACGTCCGCCCGCATTTCGGCTAGAGTTGCCGTGTCGCTGTACGCTGACGAAAGCGTTGTGATCGCTTGCATCAGCTCGGCTTGCCTCGGCTGTGCTGTTGCAGGTAAGTCCTCGTCGTCGTCATCGTCACTCTCAAACTCCGCAAGCACTTGCCAAATGATTTTCTCATCCGTGAGGCCAGCGCACAGTTACAAATCATAGTCCACACACGCAAACTCGGAAAACGAGACGTCTGATGGAATATCGACGCCCGCAGTGTGAAGGTCGTCAATAAGCTGCTCGCTTCCCAACACATGGTCGACGATGCTGTCCTCATCCAAGGCGACCGACTCGCCATTCAACACAAATCCCGCGTGGCGGAAACAGTTGCGACGCCTTGTCGATGCCATCGACTTTCACGCATCGGCGAGCATGCTAAGTGCTCCAAGCAAATCGACCGAGTACGCTTTTCCGCTGTCGAGGCACACCACCACAGGCGAAAGCAAGCGTGATCGATAGTTTACTTTGAGAGTGCGTATGACACCCTGGTCCATCGGTTGTAGGACACTTGTCGTGTACGGTGGCAAGAACTCGACGCGCACAGCCTTCAAATTGGTAATGTGCCTGTGTGCAGCGCAGTTGTCGACAAACAACAAAACTTTGCGGCCCTCTAAATCAAATTTGCGGTCCAGTCTTCTCACGTAGCTTTCAAAAAGCTGCTGAGTTGCCTAGGCCTTTTTGTTGGCCTCGTACAAAACAGGCAAAGACTTTACTCCTTTGAAGCACCTTGGAGCTTTCGACTTGCTGATGACGAGCATCGGCAGTTTTTCTGTGCCCAACATGTTGCTACCGATCAGTACAGTAACTCGCTCCTTACTGTGTTTTCCACCATGGCAAGGGTCGTTAGCAAAGGCAAGTGTCTTTTCTGGCATCAGCTTGAAAAAAAGCCTGGTCTCGTCACAGTTGAAAAAGTATCATCTGGCGAGTACTCTTGTGAAAGGGACTGCAGCTTTTCAGAGCGGTAATTCGCAACGACGCTGAGGTCAACAGCTGCACTTTCGCCGCACAGTTTTTTAAAACTGAGATCAAAGCACTTCTTGAAGTCTCTTAGCCAGCCGTCACTGAACTTAAATCTTTCGATGTTCATTTGAAGCGCCATCGTCTCAGCTTTCTGTTTGAGGAGGCTCCCAGAGATGGGAACCTTGCTGGCCACTGTCGACTTCAGCCAAACGAGAAGGGCCTCCTCGAGCTTAGGTAGGTGCCTTGGCTGACATTCTTCTGACAACATCCAGTAGACTATTCTGCCGCCTCAAAAATCTTCCACTTATTTTTGATGTAGTCCGAAATAGTCTGTTTAGAAATATGGAACTCTTTCGCAACGTCTGTCCGCGATCGGCCACTGTCAACGATCTTGATGATGGCACATTTTTTCGCCATCAACACGGTGACATACTTTCCATGCTTCATCGGAGCTCTCGGGGCCGACAACATCGGCGATCTCTTATCCATTCTGAATCAGCGCTTGTAGCTAGGCAACACACATGGCACACGCACAGGCGAACAGTCAGTCGATTCGGTCCTGTCCATCCAACGGTCACAGCAGAGAAGAAAGAAATATTGTTCGGAAGCGACGCTGATGCGGAAATAGCCTCGATCCAGCAGTTCGAGGTAGCCACCCTAGCGGAGGCTGGCGGACGCCGCGCACACGGCCAGCACCAGTTCGAGGCTACTGGATGGAAAAGTAAACAAGCAAGATCGCGGCGGCGCATAAAACGATGGCGGTCGGCTCGACTGACGCTTGGAAAGTCCGAAATATCGAACAGTCCGTCCTTAAGTGTCCGAAATTTCAAGCTGCAAAATACATTGAATTTATAGGGTATGTCCTGGTGCCAAGTAAATGTCCGAATTATCGAGCATGTCCAAAAAATTAGGCGTCCTAAATATTGGTCGTCGACTGTAATAGAGCTTTGGGCACGATACAAAAACAGGACTTTTTTACTAGCATTTTTTTTTTCGTGAGACACCTAATGTAGTTGATATGAGTTAAAACATCACTGTGCAATGAAAGCTCCAGTATGTCTCATGATTGGCTTCCAGATTTGAGTCATTGGAGAAATCGGTATCTATATCTTTTTCGAAAGCTGATGTCAAATACTCTTCAGATATGAGCATACTTTCGAATTGCAACATTAGTTGACATTTTACTGAAACCACCTCAAGGTTCGATTGTTCCTCGATTCCACAATTCCTACAATGGGCGCTCACTGATACCACCGTCACATTTTCATTGTCTTCAGTTCTGACACCAAGTCATTGGAGGAAGATGCTGTTATCAATATACCGTAAGCCAACATAATAGGGCACTACACAATGTTCCGGTTTAATTTCTGTACGAGTCACCTTGTCCAGTCCTCCCCGCAATGCTTCGTTCCTCAAAACAAACATGATACAAAATGAAATTAGACAACCTAACGAAACCAACAGACACTGGCTAACACTCACAAATTTACATAGAGAGAAATAAGCAATAAAGTGGATTGGAGGACAATTGCCAGAGCAGCTGAATCTACCTTTTTCATAATGCCATGAGGCATGAACCCTTCCTTAACACAGAAGTCGTTCAATTCCCTTTAATCTTTTAGCAAACACAAGCTGGCCCGGCCCCTGCTGGAACTCTACCGAGACAGATGAAGGCAGTGCAGGAAAATGAAAGAGGTGGATTGATAGAGCATTGGAGGCTTGGTTCCTATCCATGGCAAGCTGTCACCTTTTCAACAACCTCAATTTCTTGACATTAAATCATAATTACGACCGAAATGTGAGACAAACAATACCATTAATGTACCCTACGCTTTCCTTGGTTTTATCTCTTCATTTTTTCAAACTATGTCACAATAAAAAAAAAGAGCTTTTGAATTCTTTCATTCATTCAAAATTAAGTCAGTGGTTTGCGTACCTTCGCCATTAGATTCCATGCGCGACGCGGTGTTGACCGTGTCGCCAAAGAGGCAGTACCGTGGCATGGTGAGTCCCACCACACCAGCGACCACAGGTCCCGAGTGGATGCCTATGCGGAGCTTCAGCGTCGCTCCAGGCCTGTGCCGAATCGTGAAGTGGCGCACGGCGTCCAGGATCTCGAGCGCCATGGAGGCCACCTCGCGGGCGTGCGCATCACCGTTGCGCTCGGGCAGCCCGCTGACCACCATGTACGCATCCCCGATGGTCTCCACCTTGTACACGTCGTAGTGCCGGATGATCGAGTCAAAGCACGTGTACAGCTCGTTCAGGAAGTTTACCACCTGCGGAAAGTTAAACGGGCAAGCGATTTCAGTGTAGTTTTGATTGTATACAAAACACTTGAGAGGGACCCGTAGATAACAGATGCAGACTGCAGGCTGTGATGCAGCACAATAATGGCTGCCCTTTTTAGCACGCAACTGTTGTGAATACCATACCGTAGCCTAAAGTGAGGTTCTCAAGCTCAAGCTCATCTCCGCTGGTGGGTTGCCATCACAAAATTTAGTCTCCCCAAAGTACGGCACAGTCAATATTGAAATTGGGGTTGAAAGATTGAACAAAATGTCAGCTAGCGATGCCCTATTTGTAAGAAGGTCTTTTTTTAAACCCCATATTTAGGAATATTGCTGAAGTAGATTTGATGCCAAAGTTTGAGAAGGATGTTGATAGTATTCACCAGAATGACCAAAATATGGACACTAATTCTAAAGTTTTTGTTTCATAGTAAATGTTATCACACATGGTGACCGCACAGGGTGCCTCGCGGAAAAGATGCCTTATACGACTCATATTGGTGTAGCTCATGAATGCACCCATTAGGAAAACTAAACACATTTATATCCCAGGTGAAAATTTGCTGCTGGTTCCGTACTGGGAGTTGCTGATTTATGATGGAATCAGCAGTTAGACTGCTGGTTGTACTGGTTCCAGCAGGGTGCCTACTGTTTCTTTATTGGGACCAGCATGCTGCCTACTAGCTTGCTGATGGTCCCAGGAAGCTACCTGCTGGTTTTACTGGTTTCAGCAGTGTGCCATTGGTTTTCTGATGGTTTCAGCAGGGTGCATACTGGCTCTTTACTGGGACCAGTACACCGCCTACTGACCAGCTGGTGGCCCCAGCAAGCTGCCTGTTGGCTGTACTGGTACAAGCTACTCCTCAGTAGCATTAGTCTCGTATCTATTATTGGCATTTTTTTTTAAACTAATACTGAACAGTTAGCTACTTAATAATAAAAATACTGCACAATAAAAAGTTTTATTGTTTATTTACAGTTCAAAGCATAAGAAATAGCAGTCTTATATAACGTATAAATTATTATGACGTCTTAGCGCCGTAGTTTAGTACAACCCATGTTGTACTCTTGTCGTCACTTGTCTGTCTTTGCATTTGTATGTTTGGTGTGTTAGTTGCAAGTTTCCTCTGGCATCTGTGTGACAAGAGCGTGTAATAGTTTATTTTGGGGTCATATATATCTGTGGAAAGTGTAAAGTGAATATCAGCCTATACATAGTGTTCATGTGATGTCACTTCTGCCCTTGTCGCCCTCTCTCGCCATGCCCGGGTACCTCCCTGGGCACCTACGGTGGTTTGCGTGCTGCAGTGCGGTTTGTTGGGGGCTCATCTGTTGCTGTGTACGATGTTTAAAGGGCAGCATTGTGGTTTTTGTTGTCGTAATTTAACGAGCTCATCAGATCACGAAGGCCTCGTTTGTTCACTCGATACAAGACCAGAAAATCAAGATGTGCGACATGTATACCAGCCACCGCATACACCGGCTGCCCGCCACGGCCTACGAGGGCCCATTATATCGCTTTCACTACAAATTGCGTGACCCAAAAACAAGTGAAAGCCCAAAGTTTCTCGAGCCGCAATTTTAAGAGTGGATGAGCGAAGCCCCGCAGCTCCCATCAAAAACGAGTCGTGCAGAGCTAGTCAAGTTTACAAGAGATATAATAATAATATATTGCTGCGGCCCACGCCACCAAAGTAGCAGCACCCCCCCCCCCCATGTGTTTTAAACAGTGCTGATGTTGAGCCTCTGATTGAAATTTGTGGAAACAGCCGAGGAAAATATTATGCGAGGCAGATAGAGACTTCGCGTGGTGCCTGCCGCGGTAATGCCGGTCATCACTTTTTTTTCACATATGTTTTGACACCTTTGTCACCTGTATTTTACTTTTCTTTGTACGCTAATGTACAGTGGAGTCCCTGAAAATGATGGAGACCATGTTAGGGAATTAATTGACCAATTTTTCAAAATACTGAACTAATATTGTTCCGCATCCATTTTGACACTGTTTCAATGCAATACCCGAATTCCCACGATCGCCATCACAATTTTAACCACTTCCCTGACACGCTGATTGTGCACACAGTGGTCGCGGACAAGTTTGTATGTACAGTATCTTAATAAGCTATCTCTGTTTGCAGCTAAGTGCTTGGCTATGGCACTTGCCCAGAATGAAGTTACACCTCAAGACGCAAACATCACCAAGTTTCTTCAAGTAGTTTTTTTTTTGTTGTTGTTGTTAATCCGCGCCAGCCAAACACGCCGGTACTTTTCAGAAAATCGCAATGTGCGTTCTCAATTCTAGGTAATAACTTTCGGCGAAGAAACACCCCGAAGCTCCGCTCCCTCTTCGGGGACTACTAAATCAACTTGCCTCACTAGCATCCCTCAAACTTGCATTGCGAGGCAAAGCTAAACAGGCACAAGCACGAGGAGACAACACGGCAGTGGTAGGCGACGGAGTCGGTAGGTACCCGGGCATGTCGGTGGCACGTTTCGGAAGTGACAAGGGGCATTGCGTGACGCACGTGCGCACTATGTATTTGAGCTGTTTTTGGTGCTATGCTATGCGGTGCCTTGATTTCGTGAGTGCAGATCGAGGCCCACCTTGTATCTCAGCGATCGATCTTTCATGCAGGTAAGTTGCATATTTATTTCAGATATAAGTAAACCGTGAATATACCGAATGCTTCTGTGCTTTATTAAGCTCACTGTCATTGTACATTGGTGTTTGTGATGTTAACGAATTCGCATATGCAAGCCGGTTGCTGCAAGTAAGCCATGATCCTTTGTCTCCGTGTAACAAAGTATTAACACACTGCTAAATTATAGTTTGCTGAGTGAACTAATGGGGCTGTATAGATGTAAAAGTTACTCGCCTAATATGTACTTTATCGTGTGCACTGCTTCCCACGAATAGATGTTAAGTAGCATTTTTGAAGATTGATATCTGCTGTTACAATCTGCATTGACAACAAAATATTTTATTTTGTTATAGATTGCTTGCATTACTTGGCTGCCCTTGACAATACAGACATCTGTGGTGTGGATCAAGGCCCCCTGTGGATTTTCATTCGGAACAATTTAAGCGGGAGCCGAAGCTAGCAGATTATCTTTTTCAAGTGTAAATACTACATTTTTAATAAAACGTAATAGATCAACGCTTGTGTGTTATGGGTGTATTTAACGGACTTTTGAAAAGCAGCCCCTTTAGAACTACATGCTATTGAGGGGAACAAACTTAATCTGCTCATTGGTACCACTGTAACTACTAACTCATATTGCTGAGTATTACAAAAATGGAATGTGACGATTGTTCAGCTGTGAAGGGACTAACTTCCAGTTAGAAACAGGCCGTATTTCAGCTGGTTTGAGCTGCTTGCTCGAACCACTAGCGTGCAGCCATATGACGCCCTCTGCGCTGCGGTGCTCGCCTGCTATAGCCTAAAAGCTTGCAGCTGACAATATGCAGCTCGAATGAGGCTTACTGCCTGCTTTGTTGTTTGGAAGTGTGCTCCATGTCGGCGAGTTACAAGTTGGCCGACTGCCTGCAACACTGCGCTGGAACCACCAGCTACTGATTCCATCAGCTGCTGGAACCACCAGCTACTGGTTCCATCAGCTACTGGTTCCAAAACCTGCTGGTTTCAATGCCTACTGGGAATGTGCTAATAAACCAGCACTGCTGGAACCAATAGCCAACCAGCAGGAAATTTTCACCTGGGATATGACACAAAGACAGTCATGTGCGAGCTGGTCCACTAGCAGAAGATGCGTAGGCAGCATGTGGCCCGCCGGCCATGTGTTCGGGTCCCCTGATATATGACTATAGACTAAAATAGAGATGTCTAGCACTCCCTACCTCTTTAAACATGCTTCCTCTTCCTTGCTTGCAAGGTAGCAAACTGGGCTCCTTGCTGGCTAACTACCATGCCCTTCCTGTGTTCTGTGCAGTTGATAAATGATTGCACTCAAACCACATTATAACAAAATAACAAAGTTGTATCTTAGAAAAAAATTGTGATATCCAAAATTTTTTTTAAAGGTTATTCCTTAACACTGCATTTGTCGCAAGACTATTTTCATTTGCTTCATTGTATCCCGTTATTTTGTTATACAGTCGAATCACGCTACAACGAACGCCCATTCAACGAAATTTCCGCCATAACGAAAAATTCACGGTTCCCCAGCATAAAAGTCAATGCATAAATAGTGTCGCCACAATGAACACTTTTTCTTCTGCCATCCTTCTTCAACCAAGTTTCAGGATGCAATTCCAGGCTTAGATATTTATTGCTATACAGAGAACCCAATCTTTACAATTTGATGCATTTTCAGAACCTGAAAATGCATCAACGAAGTCTAGAACACGTGTTGGCACCACCAGAAACTGCCGCTATACCGCCGCTGTTCAGCAAGCATGGGCGCCACCATTGCTCGATAGCGATGGCAATGAGACTTCCCTGCTTTTGCCACTGGCTTGCTTTTGAGCCGCAGATGATCTGAAGCTGAAGCTCAGTCGCTAAAATCATAGTTTCCTTCACGCTGCTGCTGGGTGCAATTTCAGAACGATGTCTTTTTCGATTCCAATGCTTATGTTTTTCGCGCTTGTCCAGTGTGGTAACTAATCAGAGCAGCTGTTCGTCTGCATTATCAACAAAATCAGCGAGCCGCGAGTGATGGATGATAATAATGGCATAAAATTCAGCAAGTTACTCCTCCACGATACCCTGCCTCCATATCGGAGTTGTCGGATGCGCTTTGATGGCGGACAGCTGCTGGTGTTAACATGTCAATGCAGCCATTTGGTACGTTCAGGAAAGTGCTTGTAGGCCTTGTTTCAGTGTGCTTTTCACCATGGCCTCGCTATGCATGACTGAGAATTGCGTGGTGATGCTGCTGGGAAAGAAGAGGAAGCAGCAGACACTTTTTTTATTTTTAGAATAAACATTCTTTTGTTGTGCTAGCACAGATCAGCTATATTTTTTTCGATTTCACTACACTGAAATTTTCACTTCAACAAAATATTTTCTGTGCCACGTGAGTTTCGTTGTAGTGGGGCTCGACTATATCCATGTTTGTTACTTTGAGGTTTGAGTGTAGTATATCGATACCTCATCAGCTTGGTAAACAGGTTGCCTAGCAGGTGCGATGAAACCGTACAAAGTATTTTCTGCGCCTTTGCTGTCCAACCTGTGGCTCTCAATGATGGGAACCTGCCTGCTTAGATGACGCATCATACAAAAACGAAGATTATGGGACTTCAGCTAAAGGGTTTCAGTGCCCGCAATGCCACTAAAGTGCTAATGCGCTAATCGAAGACTGCCAGACTAGACGAACACATAGGACTTTGCAAGGGGGTAAACTGTGGCTGCACGCCTAGTTCCTCTCATCTTCTTGTCTATGCTAAAGGGGCCCTGCAAGACTTTTCCAGGTAAACATCAAATGGCTTCATTAAAAGAACCTACTGTCTCATGAACCAACTGCCACAAAAATTTTTAAAATGCATAGAGTATGAACGAAATTAGAGAGATTTGTCGCAAACTTTGAGCACTTTCTCTTCGCTTTAGTACTGGCAAGCGCACTGTAAGATAAACAGAAGGGGAGGATAAAAGGGGCATGAAGTCTATTTGTCAGCACACCCCATGACCTCACATACTTTTTTTTTCTTCGAACACACCGCACACTTTCAGCGTGATTGCAAGTGCGCAGGCACATTTCCGAATCTTGCGATAGCTATACAGCTCATGCTTAAGTCGGCTAATTGCTTTGGACTTTGGGCCAATGATACAGTCTTCTGGGCTTATGACGTCATTTGTCGAAAGAAGTGGGAACGATTTCTAGCTGAGTTCAAGAGTAATTTGCACTGCGATATAACGTTTGGCTCCCGTGTTCTCAGGAGTCTTGAATACTGATTGGCAGCGTTTTCTGACCATGCTCAAAAATTGTTGCAGGACCTCTTTAAGGTAACGAAGGAGTCTTGCATCTGTGGCTAGGCTGGTGCACGACTACGGCTAATTAAGCGACCACTTGCTTTTTGTCTCCACCTACCAAAATAAACCTAGTCAAAGACGAGGTGCGAACCGTCAGTGGTGGGCCTACCTCCAGTGGTGTGCTGGTGGCCGACATCTCGGTGAAGCCGACGATGTCGCTAAAGTAGATGGTGACGGCGTCGAAGGACTCGGGCACCACCATCTGACCTCGCATCAGTTGAAGAGCTACGGTCCTGCGAGAACGAACATTCATTCACGCCACATTGCAAAGAAAGCACTGATGAAAAAAAAATTGCTGACTGTTATTAATTGTAGTGCACTGTATAATGCTTGCTCCAATTTTTTTTCCCGGTGCATATACAGTCAAACACAGATACTACGTCAAATCTTAAGGGGACGGCGAGAGTGTTCTATGTATAGAGAATTCGATATTCAAAATATTTTATATGTCAAAAATATATTCAAGAGCGCACTACAACGGTTCAATAGACACAATTATTTGTTTCATGTGGATTCAATACATGCGGACTCAACTGGATAACTAATGACATTGGGGCAGATGACCTAAGTGCGCAAAACTTGGCAAGTGAGCTGTTGTGGTCGAAGGAAGAAAGCGCTGAACAACCTTGGTGATTTCGACAAGTTTCTTCTGTTTAGCAACTGCATGTTACACCTAATTTCTTCATTTTTTTTTTTCTGTAAACACCCATCTCATTAGAGTGTAGCGAGGCCTGGCCTTAACAGAAATGAAACAAAAAAATAACGTAACCTTATGATGTACAAAATGGCTTATGCAGCTTTATGCAAGAAAGAGTAAAAAAAAAAAAAAAAAAAAACATCAGGCTTGTGCGAAACACGCAGCACAGTAATAGCGCGCAACCTGGAGCAGCGGCCTTTCTAGAGCCTGTTCTAGACTCTCCTGGGGAGACTACTACAAGTACTGTTGCAACATACCAACTACACCATAATCATCATAATTTCGCTAAGTAGGAAAGTACGCTCTCTGCCATCATTCATCACATGGCTATCCGACTCCAAGAAATCACGCGCATGCCATCGCTGCCAAAGCGAGAAACGAGCACGTACTTGGGCAGCATGCGGTGTAGGAGGGCCTCGGTCTTCTTTTTCTCCTCTTCAAGCAGGCATGTTCGCTCAGTCACCAGTTCCTCCAAGTTGTTGGCATACTTTTCCATCAAGCCCATCAGGTTGTCCATGATGTTGGGCTTCCTGCACGGTGTGCTCACGGTGACACGTGTGCAAGGTTGCTCCCATGTCTACAGAGGTTATCTTTTGCTTTCAGTGAAGTCACGCAAGCTGACGTCCCCGAGAGCAATGACACAAGCAGTACGCGAGTAAAACTGAATAGTCATCGTCGATCTCAGCTTATATTATGTGGACTGCCAGACAAAAACCTCTTCCAATGACCTCCCCCTATCTTACACAAGCCGATTCACTTTTATCCCTGCGACCTTTTTCATTTCGCCACTTCATCTAACCTGCTGCTGTCCTTCGCTTCTCCATTCCCTTGATCAACTCCATTGCTCTGGCCATCCGTTTTCTGTACTATGCATTACATGCTTGATCAGGCTTAATTGTTTTGCTTATCTAATATCAATGAATATATCAGCCACACTCTTTTATTCTCCAACCAATTCTAAGGATAATGAGGCACTGCAGAGCTGCACAGCAGACAGGCGATATCTAAAGAAATGCAGAACAAACATGGACATTGCACTACTTTGTTCCCGTTTTGTTTTGCGTTTCTTCTGGTTTTTCGTCTGTCCTGTGTCTTTGCAGCACACGTCTTCGTGTGTCGCCCCTTGGCTATGCCACTGCTCGGTAGAAAGTTCAAGGTAACAAGCAGAACTGGCTCATTAGTCTGTTTTCTGCCAGTTTTTTTCTTCCTAGCTTTACAACATCAGCAATGGTTTGAACTGGTTTCACTGCCCGTGGAAGTGGACGACGGGGACGGGCAAGAGAGAGAGAATGCAGACACTCAACGACACAGACACTCACATCCCCTGACGCATCTTCTTGAGCCGCTCCTGAACCTGGCCGAGCTCGGGCCTGGCGTCGGGCTTCTCGGCCCAACAGTCGCCAATGACGCTGAGCACGTAGTCCTGGCACTGCAGATCGGACACCGGTGGCCGGAACGGTGGGTCGCCGCCAGCCTTCACATTCTCAATGATCGCTGCAGCGTGGCACGAAGGTGAGCATTGTAAATGCGCTCATTAAATGATTGCCTAATGCTAGGCATGTGCAGAGATTCGAGCCCTTCGAATATTCGAACAGATGTTACAGTGCTCGAATATTCAAACAAATATCATGGTATTCGAATTCGCTCCGACCCAAATTCAAATCATATGAAATTTCAAAGCATTTGAAAAGAACAATTAGGCGTATTTTGTACTGCATATAACCTCCCGGCAAATGTGGTTTTGCTAGCATATGAATGCTATGCTGTAAAAACCCTTATCTGAAATAAATTCCCACTGTCGCAAAGCCGCACTTCAAGAATAAGTGAAAATATTACCATCTTAATGATTACTTTTGCCTTATAAAATGTAATGTGTTTATTCAATTCAAAATTATTTGACCAAAACACTATTTCCTTTCAATTCCATGGCACATCCTTGGTACTAACCTTTAGGTTCGAGTCTTGTGCTTCCCCAAGGTCCTTGGCGGCCGATGATTTCATGCAGGATGATGGCAAACGCATAGATGTCGTCCTTCTGACTTCCACGCGGGTAGTTCGACGGGTTGCGTAGCACCTCGGGTGATCGCCAGAGCTGGCCTGCGAGCAGGCGCAGAGTAACAAATGTTTAAGCTGGGTACACTGAGCACCACTGCATCGTGGTGTTTTCCCAGCCTCACTGATGAAAAACGTTAGGTTACCATGTTTATCGTCTTAAAGAAGTACCGACACAATAAAGACATTGTAAAAGGGATGTATTTTTGTTTCCTTGGTATTCGGTGTTAACGCTCTCCACACATCTGACTCGGACAACAATTCCAAAATATTTTACTTTAATTTTAAATGCTTCTTCTCCGAGCATCGGCAAGCCAGCCCCACCACAATGGACATTCCCAACCAGTCGACACAGTTCCACCGAGTTTGCAAACTCTGTATACTGCATCCAGCTTAAATCATAGCAATCTCTGTCAGGGTCTCTGGAATATAACCTACTGTTTATGTGCACCATGAGCAGATTACAGGTCTACCATTAGTATGTTGCAAACTGCTGTCTCCCGGTGATGCTACACTGCGATGAAACGTGAGCGAGAAGCCGCGGTCTTGATATAGAAAGCGAAAGTGTTTCTGCAAGGCAGCAGTACTAAATATACTATATTCAATGCATTCCCAGGCACCACAATACTCGCTTTGAAATTTGTGTCAGTACTCTTTTAACAATAAGGTGCAGAGTGTGATGAAACAGGGCACCACAGCTCGAACAGAATGCACCCAATGCATCTTGTTATGAAATACCATAAGGTTGTTCACATCTGCTGCTGGCATCCTCAGTCTACAAAAGTCAGCGACGCCTATTCAGGGGACCTTGCCGTAGTTTCCCATTACATCAGGTCTCCACATTTCCTTGAACTTCGGCCATGTCCAAAGATCAACTTGGCTGTGTCCGTGTCCAAGGTTCTTTGGCTGGGTCTTTCGATCGCATGCCCAGATCGTCCCTGGGCTACTTATTTACGTCTCATAAAGAGCCCTGAATTCTTCTCCATCACTAAGGATCTGCAAAAGAGCCGCACATACTCCGAGAGCTTCCTTCTCTCGTTCTAATGAAAGGAACCCTTCAATTAGGTAAGAAACGGCTTCTGTGTGATAGACTTCTTGCTGCTTTCCATACAGTTTTTGTCAAAATGCAATTAAATGTTTTGCGAAAATTTCACAAAGATGATGGCCTCCTACTGTACACGTTAGTCTACCTTCACTCTACTCATCAATGAGTAAAGTCTTTCGAGTTCCACTGCATGGCCCACTTAAGGCATCTTCAACACTGCAGTGCAGTGTGGCGCACAGCTACTAGTAGCTGATTGGACAAAACAGTGCACCAGTGCGATTTGACGAAGATGCCATTAGTTGTTTCAATAAAACAAGTAATGAGGTGCAACCGGTTGTAATTAAGGAGAACGGCGGCTTACTGCGGTACAGCTGGTAGTCTTCCTTGTCGTCCCTGTTGGCACGCGCAGCTGCATTCGTAGCCCGAAGCTCTAGAAGGCCGAAGTTTGCGAGCCGCAGCACCCACAGGTTCGTGACGAGCACGTTGGTCGACCTAAGGTTGCCGTGAACACGAAGGTCGCTCTCGTGCAGGTAGCGGAGTCCCTAGAAAAAAAATTTATACAAGAAGAATAAGTAAAAAAAATTTATACAAGAAGAGTCATTACGCCACAATGATTTGATTTACAAATGCTGCCGAACTCCTCCCGAGCGTCATTTACAGGGAGGGATGACATTTTGTATGAATAAGGTAAGCACATTATTACACAACTTACATCAATAACTTGGACACAAACACTTATGAAAATGCATAAAAGACTATGTTACACCCAAACAAGGCACACCTGAATCTCCGCAACAAAATGTGAAGTTCAGCTTAATCATTACAGTGAACCGCATCACTGTAAATCACGTAAGTGCATAAATTTACGAATGTAACTTGTATTTACTACATTACTCCGAAATCGATTTTATGCGTGAATAACATGAGGAAAGGAAAAGAAACCTGTATATTTTCTTCTGAGCTTTCGCATGACTTTAAAGAAGAGATACAAGCAGGCTTAGCTTTGGTTAAGCTCGCACCTTAGACTGACGAGTACATGCCGGAGAGTTTCATTCCATTTAATTTAGTTTGCACGTGAAAGGATCTTTTGTGGACTGGCATTCACATTAAGAGTTGTGGTATTATGAACAACACTGTCTTGTCTGATGACTTTAGAATACAGAGTTGTGCAAGCTTGGGTTAGGTTATTAAGCAGACTTTAAAGACTGATACGTTAAGTGATTCAGGATTTTATCCTACAATTCGGTGTATTAACATTTATTATACTCGGGGAAAACTTTCTGTGGCAATGAAGGGAAGGTTATGGGGCCAAAGTGGGCGTGTGCCGCGGCTGTTGAATATAATGCCGCAAATGCATCCATTTTCAGTACGACAATAACGAAAAAACGACGTCATTTTCTACTGCATGCGATTTATTAAGAGACGCTGCCTGCACCGAGGAGATATTCATATTAAATGCGAAGCATTTCTTAGCGAACTTTCGTGACTTTGAGCGTATCTATCTATCTGTCTCTCTTTCTCTCTCTCTCTCTGTCTGTCTGCCTCTCTGTCTGCCCCTCTGTCAGTCTGTCTGCCCGTCCCTCTGTCAGTCTGCCTGCCCCTCTCTCTGTCTGTCCGTCCACCGTCCGTCCGTCCGTCCGTCCGTCCGTCCGCCCGCCCGCCCGCCCACCCGCCCGCCCGCCCGCCCGCCCGCCCGCCCGCCCGCCCGCCCGCCCGCCCGTCCGCCCGTCTGTCTGTCTGTCTGTCTGCCTGTCTGTCTGCTTACATTTGGGTGCTCTCATGGTCACCCCCTTAACTTGGGGTGAACAAAAATTAGCATGAGAGGTTCGGATGGTTAGGATACGACGCGAGAGGTTAGAATACGACGTGCTGGTCAAGACTTGAATAATGTCACAATCCAGTCACTTACGTCAGACAGTGACACATATCCATGAGCGGGTATGTGCCGCTGGTGAGTGGGTATGCCTCACAGGTTATTGACACTTCGTATCTGCCCAGGAATGACGAGAACACACAGGGGAAATTTTAACGTGCGAGCGTTAAGAAATACCCGACATCGGTAGCATCGATGCGACGAATGCAAAAAATAAGTGTCGTGGTCCCAGCTGGAATCAAACCCAAGAATTCTGAGTGGCAAGGAAGCATTTTACCACAGAGTTACGCCAGGTTTCGGAACTACTTTTCAAATAGATGCTAATCTTCATGAAACGTCAATAGTGGTTGCAGTGTTGCTTACCCCATTCTAAAAACATTACATATGTACTCTTTTACTACAGCCGTCCTGTCGGGTTAACGTCAATTGTGGTTAGTTGCCATGCGCTGAAGTTGACTTACGTAGCAGTGTCCAGGACCAGCATCGTCACGAGCACCAGTGCTTCATATAAGAGTCTGGTGTGGCTAATACGCATGTTACAGTTGGCATTGTTGCACAAGTGCAAACAACTGGTTATATGAACATTTGTAACTCTTCAACTTATGTCTGTGCGTGCAACATTTGTACATGCATTTAGCGTCATTTCATGACCTGTCGCTTAATAAAAAAATTGCAACACGGTCACCTGCCTTCGCTTTCTGTAGAGTCACTGTATTTCTGCGTGTCTCAAAATGTCGCACATTTTACGTGCACCTCACAGTCGAAATGGCATCTTCGTCTTTAGGCGAGCGCGTGTCGCCTTTCAGCTGTTTCGATGACTTGCCGAAAGAGCTTGTGTCCAATTTCGCCCACAAATGACTGTGCAAGCTGTTACTTGAACACGGCAGTCATACGAAACGCGAGCCGATCCGGACTGCTTCGCGGAGAAGTACAAGAGCAGTAGCTCCGCCCCCGTAGCCACAGAAAGTTATTGATTGATATTTGGGGTTTAACATCCCAAAGCCACCATATGATTATGAGAGACGCTGTAGTGGAGGGCTTCGGAGGTTTCGACCAGCTGGGGTTCTTTAACTTGCACCCAAATCTGGGCACACGGGCCTACAACATTTCCACCTCCATTGGAAATGCAGCCGCCGCAGCCGGAATTCGATCCCGCGACTTGCGGGTCAGCAGCTGAGTACTTTAGCCACTAGATCACCACGGCGGGGCACAGAAATTCGTCCCGAGTATATCAGCATCAAATGAAACCTGAACAGCGGCAAGCCTTCACGACAGTATAGTGCGCGCCGTCCACTTATCACCATGGACAGGCCCGCATATGTGCGCAGAGCTGCCGGACAGGATGCGCACGCCTGTCAATAGCGATAATCAAATGGTGTGCACTATACCATCGCGAGGGCTTGTCACTGCTCGTGTTTCACTTGACGCTGATAGTACATGCAAGGGCTGGAAGAGGATACGGGCATACTGCTCGCAATTCAGAGATTGTACAGAACAACTGTACAAAACTGTACTAAAATTCTATATTTGCAAAATATAGAATTTTAAGAATTACCTGTTATTACGAATACCAGCTTTTGTCAGCTTTTAAATCAGAAATACGCAGAGGAAGTATCTTTTTACGCACCTTGGCCACCTTCCAACCAAACCCTGCCAGTCGCGTTACTCGGTGTACGGAGACTTGGCACATACCTTGTCCTCGCACAAACTATGGATTTGAAACATTACGTTACCGCCTTCCAAGTGTGATGAACAAATGGAAACTAACAACTGATAATCTGCGTATATTGTCTAAAACTGAAATGTTAAATCGGATGTGCTGATTGTGTTGTAAATGAATGTTGGGTGATTTCTCTAAATGGTTATTCAGTTTTTATTCTTTCATGCATTGCTTTGTTATGAATATTTTTGTGCGTATTTTAGAGTTGTGATTCTATTATTTGCTGTCATGGGCCACATGCGTGTTTCTTTTTGTATTGTCATTTTTCGCTGCCTGTAACTTTTGTAACTTTTTGTAAATTTGTAGTTTAATTTTTTTTTCTGGGTGAAGGGGCCAGTCAAGCTGTGAAATGCAGCTTTTTTCCCTTCGCACCAAACCGCGTAAGCAGTGTATTTTCGTGTACTTGTCACGTGGTTAAATAAACTCAAACTAAACAAGAATTGGCGCAATGCTCATAAAGTCTTGGGCAGATCTTGTGCAGTGAACAAACCAGACCCTCATGTGGCAAACTCTTAGGTGTGTCAATAGCAATCTGTTGAAATGGTGTTCACTGTGCACACACGCTAACTAAGGAACAGAGACAAGGAATTTTGCTGTTTTGATGATTGAGATATGTTCCCATTTGTACACGTCCACAATTATTTGTGAGGTGTAAGGCATTAGGCTTCTCAGTGAATCCATTCCATAGCTACCTGAAGTGTCACAGCGCCCCTTCGAATAAGCATGCTACCCTCAAATCGATTCATTATTTTTTTTAAGCTTAGAAGCTTGTTATGCGGACTTATATGCTCCAAGTATGATAAACTTTAAAATTTTATGTATTTTACAGGTTACCACTAGCATCCCACTAAAAGTCAAATTCTCCTACTTCTCAATGTGGTTTCGATTTCCTTTAAAAGAAACAAAAATCATAAATGGCATTAGCATAGAGGACTTATTTCAACTTTCAAGAAATGTTGTGCAGGTTTGTAGGGACTAATATACTCATTTTTCTTCTTAATATCAGATATGTACAATACGAATTTGATTCGAAATTGTGCGACCAATATCACTATTGACTTTGCACTCACTTTGAACCTAAAATTCACTATTCGCACAAGCCTAGGTATGACCCATTATGCTAAGAAAAAATTCGCAACAGGAATTATCTGTGTCAGCCGACGTTTCGACAAGTCCACTTCCCCGTTCAACGTTTGTTTGGGCACCAAACTTTTCATGAGTTTCTTATCCTGATGATGGTGCCATTAACGAGTTCTAGCCTTGAAGAAAAGTTCACTTGCTGAAGCATCAGCTCACTCACACCCCTACCCATATTTACGAATTTTTTTGCCGCAAGCTTCTGTCTTTCCCTTACTGCTGTTTTTTCGATTTCCATTTTGCTTAGAGCACTCGTGAGCTGTTGTAGCAGACTCGGCTGTCACAAGTGTAGGCGGTACGAGTTGGCCAATACCTTTATGATGTCGAAAACAAATGAAGCGATGAACATGTTGTCCAACTTGAGGACGTCATTCTCCAGTATGTCCTAGAAGAAAAAGAAAAGGTTGGTGAGAAAATTGCAACAAGAAAGGACTTCGCGTGCGGTACGAGTTCTGTGGTGATGATACATGCTAACTACTATAAAATACTGACGAAGTGTACCCCCGCCCCTTTGATAAAAGATAATCGGACAAGATGTAGAAAAGGGGCTCTTGCTCGGTTGTGAAACAAAATTGAGGACATCGGCAGAAAAGACCATAAGAAGAATGCACTCAGGTGCTTCTAAAGAAATGCTCCGTTTCTTTACACATGCATTTACTGTACTGACTGAACTGAAGGGGATCCTTGTGCGAAATTTCATGTATTATGAGAAGGAGTAAATTAAGATGTCACTCTAATGTTCCGACAAAAAATGTTCCACCGCCTGGGCTGCGGGCGGTGCTGGCTAGCACTCTCAGTTAATGAGCACGCATAAATACCCCAAAAAAAGTAAACCGGGGAGCACCGTCTATTGTAGCCGAAATGGTACAACATTGAACAGGTAATTCCAAGGTTGCAGGTTTAGATCCCACTGACATGGAGAGCGATCTTTTGTCAACTTTTATTGCTTTCAGTTTAAGTAAGAATCATCACACTACAGTCAAGAAACCACACGTAATGTCCCCTATAGTTTTCTTTCTTAATTGTATGTAGGTATCATTAGGTGTGTATATTCGCATCAGCTTTTTAGCTGCACCAAATGGCCGAGTGTTTCTACAGTCTCACCCACGTACCTGCAGGTTTCCTTTGACGCACAGCTCGGACACTGCATAGATGCAGTTGGGCTCCACGCAGGCTCCCACAAACGGGTTCAGGTTCTCGTGATGCAGCTCTCGCATCTGAAGACAGAAAAGCATCACTGTACCTCGTCGCCGAGCGATTTAACTTGCTCCTATAGTCAGTCACACACAATCAGAAAACCAGAACAGCAGACACCAAAAGCACGGCTAGTGCCAGACAAATGTCCTCCAAGATTCAGTACCGTGGCACTTTATATCAGTGACTAAGAGATTTAATAAAATGACTGGGAGAAAATACCAAATAACTTGAAGGCAACAACCCAACGACCAGCAATGACCAGATGATGGCCAGGCAACAAATGCCCTCCGAGATCCGATGACGTGCAGACTGCCCGCCCATGCTCTGCCCCAACTTCCCAGGCTTTAGTAAAAATGAGAAAAGATCTGCTTCGTTTTTCTCTGTCACGAAGTTCCCGCAGCATTTGCAAGTCATATTTATTGTCTATTGCTGTCTGCCATCTTGGCAACACAACTTTAAGTGCACGTTATTGGAGCCTATACCACAGAAACTAGCTGTTGCACTCACTAAAAGGCATGAAAAGTCTATAAATGATAAATGTCTTATCAAGTCATCCATACGGCACCTTCACTGCTTGGGTTACAAAATAAAACCATGGAAGGGCCTTAGTGCAACCAACGTGAGCAAAAGAAAGGATTTAGCGAATGTGCTGAATTTCTGCACTATACTACATTTAAGAGCACTGCAGCTAACTGCATGAAAAAAGTACCACAAATTATTTACCTGAATATGACAATAAAGTACAGTACGACCACATTGATACCTTCCCACTTAATACAACTTTCCCACTCCTGTGCTTGCTATCGCAAAAACTAAAGATGACCCAATATAGCTATGTATAGCATGTTCCGGTAAGTATGTCCCTATGAAATACGGTTATCAGGGAGCAAAGTTCAGCATTCCGGGAAACTGGAGTCATATTTTATGTTTCGCAGCTTTTCGAAAGACTCTTTTCGAAAACCATGGGGAAGCACCTTCTATTCTAACTCAATTGGTACGGCATCGAACGTGCAATTCAAAGGTTCCCAGTTGAGATCCCACTGTTGGAAAAGTCGACGCCCTCATTTAAATTTACGTTACGATTGCTACACTACAGTTAAGGCAACATTCAATGTCACCTATGCTTCGCTTGGCATAACTGTCGATTGGATTCATTTGGTTGTGTCCAACAAAAAAAATAAGGAGTGAAACTGGGCTTCTTTGCAAGGCATTATCAATCAGACAGCACACATATATACACTCAAAAATCGATATAACGAATTCGGATATAACGAATTATCGGTTATAACCAAGTAAGTGACCAATAGCTTTGCTATAGACACAGTTTACTAATAATTGTTTATAACGAATTTTCGGATATAAAGAAGCATTTTCGTGGCAGATGTGACTGTTATGATGAGGTTTGAGGGTACAACCAGATCACAGAAAGGGAACACAACACCACAGTCATTAGTTTTCCTTTCTGTGTCCTGGTAATACATGTGCACTTCCTGATTCATAAATGGAAATGGGCGGATATTTGGGCACTAAGAAGAGATGAATGAGTATAACAGTACTACTATTCCGGTTCGCTTATCGTGCACATAAATGATTTGAAATTTCGAAGTCTGTGTTTGAAACGAACCAATACATGTATTATTATTTATTATTATTATTTGAAATACTGCGTATATTTGACTGTGTCTTACCTCCTGCAGAGGTGGTTTCACTCCACCATAGAAATGGTATGCTGTGAAACCACGGGTCAAAAAAAGAAAAATCTGCACTGCCGCAAAACCACACTTCAATATTAAATATAGATACTAAGTATTTTCTCCTCCATTAACTTTTTAGAACTATTATACGGGTATATATTCACCAAGCATGGTAAATGTTAATACTTATAACTTTCACTAAACTGCAGAAATGCTTCCAGTTTACTTTAAACCAAAAAAGTGAGGTTCACACATGCCTATTATGCAAGTTAATTGGATCACGACAAAAATGATCAGTTTTCTTTGTAATACATAATACATACTATTTTAACTATTCAATTCAAAATTATTTGACCAAATTACTGTTTGCCTCGAATCCACTCACACAAGAAGCCACTCGCACGCGAGTTGGCAAGGAAGGCAAGCACGCAATATTTTTGAAGCGACCACTGATCTCACCAGTTTCATCTCTTTCTTGACCGCGCGCGGAATGTCGGCCGACCGGCGGTGGTAGATGAGCTTCTTGACGTATGTTATCGTGCCCCGGTAGCGGTACGTGTCCTCGGACAGGTTCATCATCCGGGAGTCGCTCACCATCTGGCTGATCAGGCTCAGCTAATGGGGACCACGAGAAGGAGAGAGAAACAAGGGGACACAGTGCTTTATCGCCATAGCAAAAAGAAAAACACCCTGCATGCTACACGCGCTGAAGGAACCGGGGGAAGCAATATTTGAATGAGTCAGCAATACAAAATGGTTCGCAGTGTTAGCCCTTTGTGACGCGACATCCTCACTTGAATGCAGGTCTTACTGTTCTCATTTCCATCCATTTCAGGCATAGAAGAGAATTAACGATGAGCTAATAGTAAAGTATATATTCTAATTGCCTAAAGTTCCTTTACATTACTTTTGGCTGAAGTACTTGGCTACACACAATCGCTTCAGCAAAGGCATTATCGTGTTTAACGAGACACTGAAAGTGCAACATTTCGGCCGAAATTTTAAGGAACACATTTTTTTGACTTCGTAGGAAATGCTGCCAACAGACGACTATCGCATGTACTTTGAGTAGGTTGTTGAATTTGGTTTATGCATAAACACAGAGAAACTTGCTGTGTTTATGAGATAATTATTTACATTTGCTGTATTTATCAGATAATTATTTACATTGTAATTCTAAATAAGCGCAGCAAAATACACCATAGTATATTTATTCTAGCACTTCCACTTGCTTTAAAGTTGGTCTCCAGAGCATTGGCATCAGGTTATGAAGACTTAAGGCATTTATAGACAGCTTATCCAAATTCACCTTGGAAAGGGTTAATATTGATTTGTTGGGTTTAACATCCCAAAACCACCATTTGATTATGAGAGACGCCGTAGTGGAGGGCTCCGGAAATTTCGACCACCTGGGGGTCTTTAACGTGCACCCAAACCTGAGCCTAGGCGTGCCATACATTTTGTAAAGAGGAAATACAGGGTCCTTTTTTTTTCGACCTTGAACAAGGGTGACATCCACGATAGGGTTTCGTAACATGCTCCAGAAATCTGGACTTGCACGACCGATGTGATTAACAGTGAATCATGTCGTGCAACAGAAAATGTTGGTGTATTACATCAAATCACATCGCAACTGGCATTCACACACGCATAGTGATGCGACATGCTGTCCATTAGGTCTTCTCGATTTGGATGCACTTTCCGCACTACTTCCAAGAGTGCTGTGCTTTGCCAGATCGCACCGCCTGCACTTCCACACTCGATTCAACCTTGTGCAGCACGAGTTCATCAGCAGCACTAGCTTCCCTGAGAGTTCTCGTACACGCAAGCAGCACAAAGTATACGGCACGGTTGCATTTTGCTCCGAACCTTAACGCCACACTGAAACCACCGGTGTCATGGTGCGGCAACACTAGAGGAACTGGCACGACACCGGCACGACATTCCCGTGAACTACATTCAGAAAGCGCAGCCAAATCAAGGAGACCTACAGGTTATCTTGCGAACAATCGTAAACTGCACAAATGACCTTTTTGTCCTGAATATGTTGTTAGCCTGTAATTTTGAAAAAAATGCAAAGCATCTCAAAAGAACACTTACAGAAGCCAAAGAAATGGAAAGTCTCAAAAAACGGTGACAGACTTTCTTTGACAGCTTTTACCAGTAGTAATAATAATAATAATAATAATATGTAGGATTATGTCCCCAAAACACGATAGAATTATGAGGGCTCTGAAAATTTCGACCATGTGATGTTCTTTAGAAGAATGTGCACCTACTTTCTACAGTACATGGCCCTCTCTCTTTTGCCTTTCCTTAATGCTTTTATCACGTGGTGAACAACAGTGCAACACCGAAATAAAGATGAAGATAAGAAGAAGAAAACACAAAGCAGCAACTTACAACTAATATATTTTCCACAGGAATGCACCTATATACACGGCACAGAAAAAAAAAAAAAACAGCACGGAAGCAAGAAAAAAAAAGGAAGAACAACAGAAAAGAAAAACGCATGATAATTCGATGAGAGATGGAGCACAGTCATTACCAGTTATCGCCCCGTGCTCTGCTGAGATAGTCAAGGTCTTTCTTGGCAACTGCTATCAATGCCACGCTCATACACTGCTCACCCCAGCGGTCAATCGTTACTGCCTCGATAAACTCACGGGTAAGTGTGTCCCGACTTTTTCACAATTACGCCGCAATTCTCAAACAGACTCACAGGTGAATGATAATAAGGTTTTCATCCGCTATCATCCACTAAGGAAACTACACTATAACCTCATCATGACCAAGTCACATTCGACACGAAAATAACTACGTTATATCCAAAAATTTGTCATAAACATATTTGTAAAACTATATCTAAGACAACATTATTCCTAATTTATTTCAATATAATTAACAATATGTTACTATATCCGTGTTTGTTATGTCATGGTTTGAATGTAGTTGTAGGTCACTGCCTTGAGTCACCTGCTTCTTTTCGTGCACATCTTCGTGTTTCACGGCATTTCCCCATGTACCACCAGCTCGCCCAAATTTTCATGTTACTAAGCTTTAATCAGGGTTAAGCCATAGAAATGCGCGCACTGAGAACACGGAAAGCAGCCCCCCCTCCATCGGTCTTTTAAGGCAAGTGCCAGGATTGCCATTTAAAACCTTTACACAGTGTTAGGTTTGGCCTGAGGATTCGTCTCTCAATCCCTTCGGCACCCAGTCTGACGGACGCTGTCAAGTATTTGAGTGATTATCCAGACCAGGCGGCGGGCAGAGGCGAGTCCCGTCCTTCAAGTGCGGACCCTTTGGTCGTCCCTTCGAGAAGCAGCGTGACTGATGGCCTCGTCGACTCGTCGGGCGACAGGAGGGCTGGCGTGGCCGGCGCCGGAGCTGACAGAGGAGCGGCGCTCCCTTTTGATCCCCATTCACCAAGCCGACCGGCCGACTGCCTATGCTCGTCAGGCATTGTACGTGCTAGCCGGAGGACGAGACGTCGTGTCGCCAAGACGCCGTTAACCATTCGAGAGAGGCCAACAAAGACAGCATCTTCTTTGAGGAGACCGATGGCCACCGCAAATCACCCCGCTAATTGAGCGAACAAAATCGACGAACCCTTTGAAGTATGCTGCCAGGATCATGGGAACTCTCGAGTAGCGGCACACCCACGACGAGGAAGAGCCCTGCTGGCGCCACCACAGTGCAGTGTTCACGTGGACCGTGCATGCTCGCCCCCCTCACCTGTGTGTGCGTGATTGGTGTTCGACTCGGAGAGGAGGAGCCCGACAGGGCATAAAACGACGCCGAAGAGTGCTGGACGTTGCTCTGAACTATGCTCTGAACTATGTAACGTTCAACCACCACGCTCGTGGGTTGAGAAACCACAATCCCTTCTTTTCTGTAAATATGTGTAAATAATGTCATAAACCATGTTCCTGTTTTTCGTATCCTCCTGCGTTCCTCCTTCCGACCCGTAACAACTGATGGCAGCGGTGGGTTGCCATCATCACCTGCAACCTCTTCCTTCGCCAACCTTAACAACTGGTTGGCAGCGGTGAGATGGACTTCACGACATGGTGCTGTGCTGTGGTGAGTGCTTGGTCTTTGCTATGACTTTCCAGGCTTCAATTGTGTGAGTTTATTAGAAGCTGGATTGTGTGTGAATTAGGGAGATCACCTTTTGTGAGTTTTGAGTTGTAGGGATCACCTAATTATGTGTGAAATGCAGGACCAAAGTACAACGGCAATCACGTCGTGGAAGGCAATGCTAAGAGATGAACTTTTGTGTGTGAGTAAACATCTAGGCATTGAAGTAGATGAAAGAATGGGCAGGACAGCGATTTGGATGCTGATCGCACAAAAAGCCAGTGAGGAGGAGATTAAAAACGCGGTAGAAATTTTAGAAATACAGGAAATGGAGGAACGTGAAAGAGAGGAACAGGAACGAGAGGCACGGAAAAGGGATAGAAAAGAGCGTGATCGAGCACGCGCCTTGGTGCTCGAACAATTGGAACAGAAAAACGAGGCAATGAGACAGAAAATTCAGACATCCGTAAGTGTAGCGCACGAGAAGTGCGAGGTGCAGCCCAGAGTTGTAAAGAAGGCTAGCACGTTTAAAGACAGCAGCAGGTTCGATGATGAACCGAATGTGAGAGCTGCGGAAGATGCTGCGCTGCGTAGAGAGGCCGACGAAGGCCAGAGCGAGTGCGACGAGGTGCTGTGCCAGTTAACTGTAAGCGAAACAGCTAGAGTAGCTGTAGACAATCTGGCACAGACCTCAACTGTGTTTGTCGCAACGGTGGATCTTGCAAATGTGGAAGTAATCAAGACCACCGGAGAAAGCTCAGAAGCAGCGAAGGTAGAGAGTGACGGTAACAGTGCAGTTGGCGATAGCTCCCAGGAGTGCGAGCGAGATGGTTCAGAGGGGAACAGCTGCATTGTTACGAATTGTGTTAAACTGTCCGCCGGTTTAAAATGTGAAAGAGATGATTTTGTCGAAAATCATGTAGACTGCGCGACTGAGACAGCTGACGAAAGTTGTGAGAGGGTTCACGAGAGTGAGTTGCTATCGAAAAACTTAGAAACGAAGCGCAAAAAGCGGCGCAGACGAAAGCCACGTCGGAGAGCTGCGAGCGAGACAAAAGACACTAAGGGTGTAAAGAAGGGCTCGACATCTCTGAGCGTAGTGAACAGAACTAGGTGTTCTGCATTGGCGTCGAACTCGGCTTGCGTGCGTCCTAGACACCGAAAGAAAAATACAAAGAAAGCGGATTCGCAGATAAAATTTCGGGTAAAGCGGCAGTCTTCGGATTTTGTCCCCAGCAAGTCATATGGGTTGCCTTTGAACTGTAGCACTGCCGATGACTCAAAACGCGACCAATTTGAGACCAATGAGGGAAAGGTCGGTCGCAAATGCCGCCGTAAAAGGAAGAAGCGTACGCGCGCGGCTAAGCAAAAGCAAGAAAAGGGTAACAATGGGCCGGGCGAACGGGACAAGGGTAGGCCATCGGCCAACTCAACAAGGTCTTTGTGTCGTGCAGTAAGGCACAAGCGGCGAAATAATGGTAGTCTACAGCGTGCATCTTCGCGGCGGTATGTGCGGGGGAGCTTTAGAGCTTTTCGGGGAAAAAAGTGTCGACGTGGTCCTAGAAGAAAGACCACAATAGCTAAACACCGCTCGGCTAGACCAAAGGGGACACTGTCGCTCTTTCACTGGCATTGCTCGGGTTCCCTCCGCCAGATTGACAAAAGCCCGCAGAAATCGCGAATGATGCGTGACTGCGCTGTTCAGCTTGTAGCACTTACGCGACGTTGCCTCGGGCGCCCTCGGAATCTGCCAAGTCCTCGACCGCCGCGTGTGAGATTGAAGTGCGGGACAGCTGTAGTAAGCTGGAGTGTCAGACACAGGAGTTTTCTTGAAAGCATGTTTGCTCAATTGTGGTTTTAAAGTGGCATTCCTGTGTCCCCTCCTCGGATAGTGTTAGATACAGTTTTTTTCCCTTCTAGATCTTTGTTAAAAAGCATTGCAAGTGTTTTTAGTTGAGTTACAGGGAAAGGGCCTATGGTTAGGTGTGCGATTGGTGTGCTGACGCTCTTTGGATGAGAGTATGATGTCGTGCTAGGGCGCACAGCAATGTGCGTTCTTTCAAAACATGGGCTGACATGAAACTACATCCAGCAAATGAGTGTGTTAGTACACGGGTTGCATTTCCCTTTGTGATTTTAGTATGTGCTCAGGGATCAGGTGAAATTCTTTAGCTGAGCGTTATGCTATATGGAACGTTGAGATTAGAGATGCACTTTAAGGATTTACACAGTTCGATATCTTGAGGAAATTTACGTTCAGATGAGGGTTTAAGGACACCTAGGTGAGAGAGATATCGCCTATGGTTAGGTGCGTGTTGGTATGCTAGCACTCTTTGGATGAGAGTAAGATGTCGTGCTAGAGCGCACAGCAAAGTCATGTGCGTTCTTTAAAAACATGGGCTGACATGAAACTACATCCAGCAAATGAGCGTGTTAGCAGACAAAGTTTACTTCGTTTTGTTGTTTTTGTGATCACTTAGGGATCATATATGATCACTTGAGCTGAAAGCACGGCGTTCACCAAAACTTTGAGACTAGATACATTTCTAGGATTTATAAGACGCAGTTTGATTTGATGTGAGAGAGTTTTGTTTGCGTCAGGGTGTCATAAAAGTAGGTACTCTCGACCACGCCTTGCAAGTATGTATTGAGAGAATGAAGAAAGCGCCCAGATAACTTGTGTATAGGGTATGGCAGCATTGGTGTGAAACCTTTGTATTTGGTTGTGTATCATGAATTTAGTCATGAAATTAAATGTAAGTTACAACTTAATAGTGCGGATGGTAGGAGAAAGCTAGTTTTTAAGTATTGTGATTCTCGTTATATGGGGCCAAATTGTATTTGCCTTTGTGTGCTTTTCTCGCACGGCAATTTGTTCCATCTTTAGTAGGCATCTCCACGTCCATGATTGTTGAAACTTTGGCGGCACCAAATTGTCTCAAAATTTTTGCCTACAGGTTTTCCTTTTTGTGTTGAGAAGCCTGGAGGGTTTTAAGCGGGTCCAATGTGCTTGACTTCAGCATGGTATTGTGTTGTGTGGTTCGCCTTGCTGTTGTCAGTCATTGTGAGCTGGTTTGGGAGTTGGTTTCGAGCTCGCAGCTGGAGAGAGAAAAGCCAGGCCATCGTCCTCGTCACCAACCATTCTCTTCGTGCCCAGCGGTTGGGAGCGCTGGCCAGCCGAGATTTTCCGGGCGGCGGAGGAGCTGTTAGGTTTGGCCTGGGGATTCGTCTCTCAATCCCTTCGGCGCCCAGTCTGACGGACGCTGTCAAGTATTTGAGTGATTATCCAGACCAGGCGGCGGGCAGAGGCGAGTCCCGTCCTTCAAGTGCGGACCCTTTGGTCGTCCCTTCGAGAAGCAGCGTGACTGATGGCCTCGTCGACTCGTCGGGCGACAGGAGGGCTGGCGTGGCCAGCGCCGGAGCTGACAGAGGAGCGGCGCTCCCTTTTGATCCCCATTCACCAAGCCGACCGGCCGACTGCCTATGCTCGTCAGGCATTGTACGTGCTAGCTGGAGGACGAGACGTCGTGTCGGAACCATCTCTTCTCGCGGAGTTCTCCTTTTCTTCCGTTGTGACCATATTTGCATGCCACCACCATCGTGCGCTACAGTGATGGCAACGCCGAAAAAGCGGTAGAACTACGACGCGAAGAACTTGGCGACTAAAGTAGAAATTTTGGAAGCACTGAAGAACGGCGAATCGCGACAGCAGGTTATGACCAAGTACAATGTGAAGCGGAGCACGTTGGGAACGTACGTGAAAAATGAGCAACAGATTCGACAAACCTTCGAAAGCGAGAAGTTTCATGCCTCTAGAAAGCAGTTGCGAACCGCAGTTCATCCCCAGCTCGAAGAAGCTTTGCTCCGGTGGTTTACCGACTGTCGCAACGCGCATCTGCCTTTGAGCGGACCTCTCATGATGGCGCAAGGTGAGAAGTGCAATGATGAACATTGAATCGTTCAAAGCGTCAGAAGGTTGGTTTGCGAGGTTTCGAGAGAGACACGAACTTGTCTTCAGGAGAGTGTGCGGCGAAAAGGCCAGTGTTGACGAAAGCGTGACCACCGAGTGGAGAAATGTGAAGCTGCTGGAGCACATCGCCGCATATGAACCACGTGACGTGTTCAATGCAGATGAAACTGCTCTATTTTTCAGAACTCTGCCCGACAAGACGGTGACTTTCAAAGGGGACGCGTGCATTGGTGGCAAGAAGTGCAAGCAAAGGATAACTGTGCTTCTTGCCGCCGCCAATATGACTGGCACGGAGCGCTTGCCACTACTTGTCGTCGGGAAGGCGCTTAAGCCACGTTGTTTTAAAAACGTCAAAAGCCTTCCTGTCGAGTACACAGCGAACAGGAAAGCATGGATGACATCGGACATTTTTCGCGGCTGGCTGCAGCAGTTGGACCGGCACTTCACGTCGAAGGACCGCAAGATAATTATGGTTGTTGACAACTGCAGTGCCCATAACTGTAAAGTCGAACTGAAGAGCATCAAAGTAGTTTTTTTGCCGCCCAACACTACGTCTGCTCTTCAGCCGATGGACCAGAGTATCATTCACTACGTGAAGTCGAAGTACCGCAAGCACCTGCTAGAGCGAATGATCCTATGCTCAGAAGCTGGAAAGTTGTATCAAGTGGACTTACTCGGCGCAGTGCGCATCATCGGCCACGTGTGGAAAAACACTCCGCCGCAAGTCATTGCCAACTGTTTTCGGCACAGCGGTTTTGTGAGGCCCGAGCATGCAGCAGTAGCTGACGATGGCATCGAGGAGGTGTCAGCCGAGTCCACCGACGATGACTGCCCGACTTTTGATGCTGCCCTTCCCACAGATGCGACCTTTCAGGACTACATTGCGATTGATCATGGTGTCACCATGAGTGGTCTCCTGACCGATCAAGAGATTATTAATGATGTCACGGGCGCCCATGAAGACCACGATTCCAACGAAGAATCATGCGAGGAGATACAGCCGCGACCTCATCGCACCTCACGGGAAGTCTCGGAGGCGCTGTTAATATTAGAGGACGCTTGCCTGAACACTCCCGACAGCTTGCGTGCTGTTGGCCATTTGGAACAGTTAAGAAAAATTATGATGTCAGCCGGAATCTGCGCGAAAACGCAGACGACAATTACAAAATACTTCAACAAATAAAGGTATGCTTCTGCAGCTTGATTTTAAATGTTGTTTTCCCTGTTCATTCGTTAATTTGGCATTCGGTTAATTCTGACAGTTTTTCCGGTCCCGTGAAATGTGAATTAACGAGCTTTTACTGTACCTTTACAAAAGGTAACATGCATTGTAACTTACGCCTGTTCGTTCATTTAAAAGATTTTTGTCCACCACGGAGAATTCGTGGCTATGATGCTGTTTGATCCTGGACATGGCGGTTGCATTTCGGTGGAGAGGAAATGGTAGAGAGCCGTGTACCATGCAATGTCAGTGCACGTCAAAAAATGCGACATGGTGCAAATTTTTGGAGCCCTTCACTATAGCATCTCTCATAACCATATCCTGGTTTTGGGAAGTAAAACCACAAATATTATTGTTATTAAAATTTTGAACAGCTTTAATTCATGTCGATACGAACTGAAATACAGTAATATCTGCTCGCACACTCGAAGTGCTCAAATATTTGTACATGCCTGCTTATAACGCATCTTACCGGTACACAACAGTCGCAAACACAGACACCAGGACAAGCAGGACTCCAAGAACACTGGCTAGTATCTCTCGTCGATTATCTGCAAAAGGAAAACAAATGAGAGGCAGACAATGAGGATGCCCTTTGTTGTCTCAAGTCAGCATGTCGAGAAACCGACTACCGCACACCAGGAAGGGTGCGTACAAAACAAAACTTTCAATCAGATAACTTTATACACAGAAGGAGAAAGGAAGACAAAACTATAAACAGCCCCCCCCCCAAATCGCATGGCAAAAGAAAAGGAAGGGGAGTGGGGAGGGAGCACAAACACATCTAAAAAAAAAATGAAGTTGAAGGTGGCTTCACGGTAGTGCTTAAAAGCTGTGCAAAAAAAGCTAGGTTCGCGAAAATACGCAGAAAACATTTTTAGAAAGATGTTACGACAGAAACTAGTTTCGAAATCTCCCAACTTTAGATTCCATGTACAGCCGAAGTCCTTTTTCTAGAGACAGCAATATAAAAGACAAATGGGTAAAAGAGACACCACTGGGCATACAGTAAAATACGGATTGATAAGAAAATGCATATGAGGTATCCTGCTTATATATATCTCATATAAAGGACAACAATTGCTGCCTTGAGTATGCCTCTTATAAAATGGTTTAACTGTGCTATAACGAAACGGGTCAACCTACAATCATGGAAATACGGTATGCATATCTTGGGCAGAGTTTGTGACTTACCCAACGGGGCGATGCAAATTGAGCCGTCGTAGCCACAGGGTGGTTCCGCCACGGGTGCCTGTCCGGTCTTCCAAAGGACGCTGCTGTTGACGCTTGGCGAAAACTCCTTTGGATGTTAAGTTTTGGATCGGAAAGAAACAAGATGGGAAGTCACTTTTTACAAAGCTGGAATGTCTCGCGCATGTAAACAACACAACACTGAAGAATGAAAGACAAACAATCATTTTGAAGATGGGACAGATGGGACAAGCCATTGAGAATTTAAGTATTTCTTAACTGCAACACTTTTCTGAGTAACCATCACATCATCTCAATATCGGAGTGAATTCATTCATTCAAAATGAATAGCAAAATTATATTGTGCAGGCAGGGGTGAAGGCATTTTCTTTTTTCGACAGGAGACACTTCGTAAATTGAAGCGAGGCTGGGCAGGACGATGTGTTCGGGGCTTATTTTGTGCTTTGCATGCCATAAAAAAGAAAAAAAAGAGGGCAGAAACACACCCAGTGTGCCCCCTGCTCTTTCCTGAGCAGGCAAACTGGTTCCCTCTTGTAGCTCACATTACCTCACACAAGTGGTTAAATCAGGGACGATGCTGGGAATACCATTAGATACGGAGAGGGCAAGAAACGGTTTCTTCTTATGTCATGGTATGCCGGTGGCTTATCGCAATGCTGCGTTCGGCATTGTTGACCGAGGTGGAATATGCTGAACTTGATGCACGTGTTTAGTTGACTAGTTAAAACGTTTTTGGAGGTAGTTCAGGGGCCAGCGAAGGCCGCGCATGCCTTCATGTAGAGTGAAAAACGTGCATGAATTGCGCTAGAGGCTAGTGCAAAACTGGTGATCTCCTAGCTAGTCCTGATGTGGCTAAAAATCAGTTAGGCTTGATTAGCATAATTAAGCCACATAGAATTCAAGTACCGTAAAAACCGGAATCTGGGTTGAATAAAAAAAAATATCCAATGAAAAGTCGACCCTCGTCCTATGTACCAGTCATTGGTAGAAAAAAAATGTGGAAGTCTCGCAAGAATGGGCAGCTGAAGTTGAAAGCCTCCATTGCCATCACGAGCGTAAGCAGCAGCTCTGTTGGGTATGGTGTACTGAAATCTGGCAGTGTGTCGTCTTGGCAGCGAGCCAATGGGAGACAGCTGGTCGTCTTTGTGATGATGCCGTCAGTATTGCACCACCGTCAAACGGTGTGACCAGCACACATTAATTGAATTGCAAAACTTTCTGCAGTTTGAGTGAAATAGTCAAACCACAAAATTGAAACTAAAAGCATCTGCAAAATTAAAACACATCCAATACATTTCTACGCATTAATAATATAAATAAAGGTGCTCTTGGGTTGCATGAGCTTGCACGATTGCTATTGTAGAACAGGGACCTAGATATTGTGCTTGCTTACTGTTTTAACCGCAGTCTTATATTTTTTTGGGGCCAACTTTGCTCAACCGTTATACACTCAAACCTCGACATAACGAACCCGGATATAACGAATTATCGGTTATAACAAAGTAAATGAAAACTAGGTTTGTCATAGCTACAATGCTACAACTATATGCTTATAACGAATTTTCGGATATACCGAAGTATTTTTTTTTTTGGCAGGTAGGACTTTGTTATAATGAGGTTTGAGTGTACTAAATATAGAGTAATCATGCGGGGATCGATGAACGACTCACGGCTGTCTCGTCGTCGACATACTTGAAGCCACCAGCAGGCTGGAAGAGCCGCTCGATGACAGTGTGCGAAGCCCGCCGGGCTTCAACCAGCCGGTCGCGCACCTTGGTGGCAGCTTCGTCGAACACGGGCAGGAAGGCGAGCACCGTGTAGTTGCCCTCAACGTCACCCTTGGGTGTGATACTCATCTCGGCGGTAGTCACACCTGCGTTAGAGAAGATAACCCAAGAAAAAAATGGCAGCTTCGGCCACAGAATTGCGGCACATTTATTCTTCGTCTGTGCGTCAAGGTCGTGGCGATGGGCTTTCGCTCAAACCAAAAGCCTTTTTTTTTCTTTACTAATACATACTATGTGTACTAAGAGTTAAATGTTTACCGCAAACAACCAAAAGTATTACCTTTGGCAGAGTAGTGATTTCAAAGTCTCCGACAAAACTAACAGGATGTTAAAATTTCCGACACCAAGCCCGTGACACCAACGTGGATCCAGGTGGGAAAAATATCTGAAGCACACTGAAAATGTATGCTATCACGAAAATGAGTAAGCACTATTGGACAGAGCATTTATGCAAATTTTCCGTAAGAGGGCGAGCGATTGCTGTGGGTGACTGAATATAAGTCTTTGCTTTGATTAAAATACACCTCTTGTCTCGAAATTCGTGCAGACACGGGGTGACCGAGATGAAGGAGGAAATGACAAGAATGCACACAGTAGCATCAGGTGGGTGACTAGCGAATTATTTATTGATCTTATGCAGAAAAAAAACAGATCACGTAGCGTGTAATTACAGCCACTACGTGATTGGAATCTGCTGGTTACAGAGTTGATTGAACAAAAACTGAGGACAACGATATTGTAACTTGTTGTAACCAAAATCTTTGCGAACAGTTTCATGGCACTAGCTACTATTGGCACTAGGCTATTGGAGAGGTTGACCTCTTGCGACCCATATATGGCCCTCTAGAAAGGGTAATGAGAGTCTGATAAACAACAACAAAAAAAAAACACTTATAAAAACATAGCAATGAGTGTAGGACCCAAAAGGTAATGAGAATTAAGTGAAGTTTTTTTTTTAGATAAAACTCAGTTAGCCCTGTGAACAGCTTAATAAAATTTACCTAGGGGCTCTATACTAAAATGAACTAAAAAGCACAGAAAGGAACCTATAAGTTAGGTGTAAGTGGACATAAGAAAGTGACATTTGATGGTGTCACGAGGCTAGTCAGCCCACAAGCTCTCGTGTAGGTTCTTGTGCATACAAACCGATGAGAAAACCCACATCGGTAAAGAGAACACGAGACCGTTTATGCACACAAGAAAAACAACTAAATATATTTTCAATAAACTAGATAAAGAGAAAGGAATGAGAGGAAAAACAAACAAAGCACACAAATTCGAGGAGAAATTAACCTAATGACCGCGAAATGCTAAGGATGCGTAAGTTCCGCAATAGCAAAAGCGACTGTCACCGTTCGGTCGCGGCACTCTTGTAGATGGCGAGGGTTGATGCGATGGGGTGCAGACAAGGTAGATCAGAGGTCCAAGCGTTGCTTGTGGTTGAAGGTAACTCCGGGCGCACCAAGGTCAGTGACCTCTCAGCGTTCGTCCTCCGACGCTGGGACGTAGCCCTGGAAACGGGACGAGCCTGGCCAACGCCAGACGACGAGCGGCCTGGCCAACGCCAGACGATAGATGATGCTCGGGTGCCCGACCAGGTGGGAGCCCGCAGCAGCCTTGCCTCAGGAACTCGGCCGCCACCCCCGCGCCCTGGTAGCCTGCTTGCCTCCCTCGCGTCCCGGCCACGTCTGCCCCGTTCTTCGTTCGGGCTTCTTCCAGACCAGCGTGGGGGCCTCTCATTGGTCCGAACTTCACGCGCCTCGTCTGCCCATCGTCTTCCTCACCGAATACATCGCGAAAGCGCGCGTCCACACCATCGGTCGTCGTCGTCTTCTTTCCTATGCCGGTGCACTCGCGCACGTTTTAAACCGAACACTGGTTGCACTCACGCACTTCACGAAACGCGCACTTCTATTATCACAACATGCCCCTTTTTCGAAAAGTTTTTTCCCAACGGAAAAAACTGCCGGATGCGTGTTTCACCACACAGGATACGTTCTTGGAGTTCGCATGAACACATGCACACTGGTATCACTGCAACAAGTCTTAAGGAGCACACTTACAGGAATAAAAAAAATCCACATATGGTAAACAATATTCCGATGGTTGGTTGAAATGCTTTGCCTTCCATCTTTAGCAACACCTGAATTCGTATCTATGGCCGTAACCTGCTCATGAAGTCGGCACCTGCGTTTTCAGAACCTTTGATATGTTGAATATGAAAAGTGTACTCTTGTAGTACTAGACTCCACCTTAGCAACCTACTGTTCAGGTGTTTTGCCTTCGCTAAGTATTGTAGCGGTTGATGATCTGTCTGTACGATAAACTGTACTCCGTACAAAAAAATATGAAATTTTTCTACCGCCCATACTAGCGCTAAGCATTCTCGTTCGATAGTCGAGTAATTCTGCTCCCGAGGCAACAGCTGGCGGCTGGCATACGACACTGAGTGCAACAGCCCCTCGTGTTCTTGCATGAGGACTGCACCGATGCATGTGTCGGATGCGTCTGCACGGAGTATGAACACACGTTTTGGGTCTAGTGCCTTCACGATCGGCCCAGAAGCAAGGGCTTGCTTCAGCGTTTGAAATGCTCCTTCTGTTTCAGGAGTCCAACAAATCTTGTTTTTCTCCATTTTTCTGGTTAGCTGAGTTAAAGACAGTGCTTTCTCCGCATAGTGAGGTATTAAATCTCGGTAATACCCAGCTAGTCCCAGAAAAGATCGGAGTTGCTTCTTGGTGTCAGGTAGAGGTGCACTGGCTATCTTCAAAACCGTAGTTTCCACAGGTTGAATAGTCCCGTCTTCTAGACGATGTCCCAAGAAGACTATCGACTCCACAGCAATTTCGCACTTCTGAGGCTTGATGGTTAAGCCAAACTTCCGTACTTTCTGCACCAAGCGTTGCAAGGTGTCTATGTGCTCTTCCCAGGTGTTCGTGGCTATGAGAACGTCATCGATGTAGTGGACTACATTTTCAAGGCCCTGTAGGAGTGTTCTCATTAGACGCGTAAACACCGCAGAAGCTGTCTTTATGCCAAACGGCATGTATATAAATTGGAAATGACCGGATTGCGTTGAGAATGCCGTTACTGGCCTCGATGTCCGGTCAAGTGGGACTTGCCAATACCCCTTTGTGAGATCAAACTTTGAGAAGTATCTCTTTGTGCCCACCTCTGTAAGCATTAGGTCGGTCCTAGGTATGGGTTCAGCGTCGGAAACCAGTATCTCGTTGATGCGACGGAAGTCGACGCATGTGCGATAGGTGTTATCCGGCTTCTTAATAAGTACCAAGGGCGAATTGTAGGGCGAATGGGATCGCTCAATCACACCCAGTCTTAACATGTCCTGAACTTCTTGTTCTACTACTTCCTTCATGGCCAACGGCAAAGGATACTGCAGTGTGTTGATCGGTTCAGAGGTCGTCAATTGAAGTCGGCATTCCAACAGATTTGTCTTTCCCGGTATCTCAGAGAATACATCTTGGTAGGTGGTTAGAATCTTCTCAAGTTCTGTACGTTTGTCTTCTTCTAAGCTACTGCCGATCGGAATCGCTTCTACACCCACAGTCGGCTTAACTGTGCAAGCTGGTAGAGGGGTATCTGTCTCCTCCTCTTTCCTAACCACAAAAGATGCTGTTTGTGGAATTGTGTCTGGTTGCCGGTCTTCATATCGCTTTAACATATTAATATGGAAAAGTTTGGCGTCATGCCCCAAGTCCAGCCAATAGTCGTAGTCGCCCTTTTTCCCAATGACCGGAAACGGCCCCTTCCATTCCATCAACAACTTATTCGCTGTTGTAGGAAGCAAAATAAGAGCTCGGTCTCCAACTTTCAGCTGACGGCTCTTGCTCTTCCGATCATAGTGATATTTTTGAGTCGTTTTCGCTCGTATCAGGTTCTCATGGGCTAATTTTAGCGTTCTTTCCAGACGATCCCGGAGATCGAGGACATATCCATAGGTCGTTTTCACTTCCTCTTCGATCTTTTCTCCAGTCCACAGCTCCTTTAACAAGTTGAGTGGTCCTCGGACGTATCTCCCGTAAATGAGTTCGAAAGGAGAGAACCCCATGCTGGCCTGAGGAACTTCTCGATATGCAAATAGAAGTGGTGCAAGCAATCGATCCCATGATTTTGGATCCTCTTGGCATAGCTTGCGCAGCATTTGTTTCAAAGTCCCATTAAATCGCTCTACCAAACCATTGCACATGGGATGATAGGGCGTCGAACTCAGATGTTTGATTGCCAACAGATCGTTTACTTCTCTCATCAGGTCCGACGTGAAGCACGAGGCCTGATCGCACAGGATTTGGCGGGGAAATCCAACGCGGGAAGACATTTCGACCAACCCGTCTGTCACAGTCGCGGAGTCAATCGCCGGCAAAGCAATGGCGTCAGGATAGCGCGTAGCGAAATTGACCATGGTCAGTATGTATCTGTTGCCCCTATTTGAGACCGGCTTTAAGGGTCCAATAATGTCCACGGCCACGCGCTCAAAAGGAGTGTCAATCAGGGGCATTTTCCCAAGAGGAGCCTTTCCTACTTTGTGCTTTGGATACATTCTTTGGCACGTGTCACAGGACCGCACGTATCTTTTAATCTCTTCCCGGCCCCCTGGCCAATAGAATGAACCTAACACCCGATCAATCGTTCTTGTTACTCCTAGATGCCCGGACATCAAACTCTCATGGGCCATCTTCAACACTTGACTTCGCAGCTTGAGAGGAACTACGACCTGCTGTATCAATTTGCCAGAGGATAGTCGGTAATTTCGATACAACAATGACTTCTCCATGACAAAGGAATACTGGGTCGATCCTCTGCCATAAAAAACCTGCCCTACTTTGTCCCTGCAAGCTTCCAGGGTCTTGTCTTCTGCTTGGGCCCTCTCGAGCTCCCTCCTGTTCATCTTCAAACTTCTGATGCTAACTGCAGCTGAATCCGGCCGGACGCTTGTGCTCTTCATACTACCAAGTGATGTTTTTAAACGATGGTCTTCTTTCTTCTTATACAAGGTCTCGGCGACGCCGTTCGGAGTGAAGTTCCCTTCAGCCAGTTTTTCTTTCCATTTCTTGTCAGGGTCATCAGCAGCACGAGATCCTGGCACATTGCCAACGATGATGTCATATAGCGGGGAGGACATGCATTTCACGATACACGTGCCTGAAAAATATGGCGAAAAAATCTCCACCTTCGCCTCTGGTACCGTGATCCGGCTCCCGTCTGCTAAGAACAAGGCCGTCGTGGTTCCTGTCAGTGCTTCATCTGGCACCAAAGAACGCCGAACCACCATTGTATTGCTTCCTGTATCCCGTAGGACGGAAGCAGCTTGGCCGAATATAATGCCCTGCAGCACTGGCATCAGATGTTTTTCTGACTTTGGCTGCGTATTTACTGCACTGGTCATATTCTCCTCCTGCTTGTCCGCAGGTATATCATTCACTACTTCTGCCTTTTCCTCTGGCGACAAGATACAAGAAGTCCTCTTAGTGACGTTCTGCTTTCTGGTACATACATTAACATCATGCCCCGTTTTGCGACAATAGTCACAGTATGGTCTTGTCCGAGCACGACATTCTGCTGCCCTGTGACCTGTTTTATCACAGACAAAACATCGAGTGGGAGACTTCCCCACTGTACTTCCGCATTTTCCTGCGGCGCCGTTCTCCGTTTTGTCGCGAAAAACCAACAAATTTGACTGTCGTTGGGCCTCTAAAAAATTGTCCGCAGCCTCGGCCATTTCATCTAGCTTACGACATTTTTTCTCACGTAGGAAAAGCGCCACGCGGTTATGGCATTGATTGATAAACTGTTCAGCTACTATGAGATCTCGAACAGACGAATATTCTTTTGCTGTCTTGGACATCTCCACCCATCTGTCAAAAAAACTTGCCAACCTGGTTGCATACTGCTTGCCTGTTTCTCCATCTTGAGGTCTGCTATGCCGGAACTTCTCCCGGTAGCCCTCCGCCGTGAAACGAAAACGCTGCAGTAATGCTAGCTTGGCTTTCTCGTAGTCAAGTGCCTCTTCTGGAGACAAGCGACCAAATACTTTGAGAGCTTCTCCGCTCAGACACAGACTCAGTGCCGTGGCCCACTTATTCTTAGGCCATTCCTGACCGGTGGCCACATTCTCAAATCTCTTGAGATAAGCATCAAGGTCATCCCGGTTTTCATTAAATCCGGGTATGAAATTGTGCGGGTTAACGTTACACGGTTCTCGCACCTGTCGACCATGGTCCGACGCCGCGGATCCCCTGGCCCCTTCCACCTGAGCAAGTTGAAGACGCAGTTGAATCGTCTTCTGGCATTCGGCCTCAAGTTTTCGTTCGAACCCCACCTGTTCCATCCTCTCCTTTCTTGCCTCTCGCTCAGCTGCCCTTTCTTCGCGAGCTCGTGCCTCACGCTCATCAAGCCATGCCTTCAACTCATCGCCCTCTAGCCCCATGCGTATCGCTAACGCCGTTAAATCAGACATAGTCATTTTCTCTCCTTCTGTAAAAACCTTAATTGCATAAACAATCTCGTCCTGTCGCGGACGCCAATTGTCACGAGGCTAGTCAGCCCACAAGCTTTCGTGTAGGTTCTTGTGCATACAAACCGATGAGAAAACCCACATCGGTAAAGAGAACACGAGACCGTTTATGCACACAAGAAAAACAACTAAATATATTTTCAATAAACTAGATAAAGAGAAAGGAATGAGAGGAAAAACAAACAAAGCACACAAATTCGAGGAGAAATTAACCTAATGACCGCGAAATGCTAAGGATGCGTAAGTTCCGCAATAGCAAAAGCGACTGTCACCGTTCGGTCGCGGCACTCTTGTAGACGGCGAGGGTTGATGCGATGGGGTGCAGACAAGGTAGATCAGAGGTCCAAGCGTTGCTCGTGGTTGAAGGTAACTCCGGGCGCACCAAGGTCAGTGACCTCTCAGCGTTCGTCGTCCGACGCTGGGATGTAGCCCTGGAAACGGGACGAGCCTGGCCAAAGCCAGATGGTGAGAAGCCTGGCCAACGCCAAACGACGAGCAGCCTGGCCAACGCCAGACGACGAGCGGCCTGGCCAACGCCAGACGATAGATGATGCTCGGGTGCCCGACCAGGTGGGAGCCCGCAGCAGCCTTGCCTCAGGAACTCGGCCGCCACCCCCGCGCCCTGGTAGCCTGCTTGCCTCCCTCGCGTCCCGGCCCCGTCTGCCCCGTTCTTCGTTCGGGCTTCTTCCAAACCAGCGTGGGGGCCTCTCATTGGTCCGAACTTCACGCGCCTCGTCTGCCCATCGTCTTCCTCACCGAATACATCGCGAAAGCGCGCGTCCACACCATCGGTCGTCGTCGTCTTCTTTCCTATGCCGGTGCACTCGCGCACATTTTAAACCGAACACAGGTTGCACTCGCGCACTTCACGAAACGCGCACTTCACTTATCACAGACGGGTACATAGTGCCTGAATGCTGGGCTAGGAATAAGTATCATACCACCTGTTGTAGTTAATGAGAACTGAGGGCCTCATTAGACCATAGAATGGCTGCAGCTTCTCAGCAACTGCAGTTAGAAAGATGGGGTTCAGGGTGTAGGCACATATATTGTGCTAGCCTACTAAAACGAGATGTCTATTTAGTATAAAAAGTGCAATAAACCATCGCCCGTGACAATCATGTCACATCGCTGCAAATCCAGCCACTAAAGGCTCATTCACACCGAAGCCAGCACGTAAAAAAGCAGCCAAGCTGTTTTTTCGAAGTGGCGAGGCGGCAAGTGCGTGAATCTGTTCAGACCTCCCGCCTCCTATGGATCGCCGCGTGGCAGAATAGGTGGGCATCTCGCGCTTTTATAGGCGGGCATCTTGTGCTTTTGCGAGATGCCCGCCTATTTGATCGCCCTTGCCGCCTGGCTTATCTCCCCCTTTCACCGCCTGGAGAAGAGGCATTTCCCGCTTTCTGCGTTGCCGCCTCGCCGCTTTGGCCGCCCCACCTTCGGTGTGAATGAGCCTTAAAGGTAGCGTTGGCTCTGATGTAGCTGTTCGAGCATGTAGGCATGAGCACAGAAGAGATGGAGGCACAGAAGGGATGGAGGCTGCTTTACCTGAAAGAGGGAGGGGATGCAAAATTTGTCTTATACACCGACTTAATAAGGAGGTAAGGCGCTGCTATGAACATTTGCCCCCTGAAGAGGAACCCTTGTCCCGGTTGAGCTTGAAGGAAAGGGTGATGCCACCCACTCCGCCTGCACATAGCGTGCGCCTTAGTGTGTCTTAATAACACAATAGAGAAAAACCTGACACTGCTGTTTATGGGAGCTCTAGTGCATGGGTGCTTCGGCAGTATGAGAATCTTTAATTAAACTTTGTTAATTCAGTTAGATTTGGCTCCGTGCTACCTGCAGTCGCTTTGTTGCAAGGCAAAGTTGAGCAAATGTCCAGCAGTTTCAATTCACCGCCTCAACATTTTTAGGACAACCAACTCCAACTGAATAATGAAGTACACAAAGTTGAAAATGATCTGTTTTTTTTTCGAAACAAATGCCAAAACAAAGCTGCAAGTGCATTCGAAGCCACAAGCACGAAGATCAGGCAAACCCATGTGGTAATAATCATCATTCTCATGGCAGCTGAGCGATTGCAGCACCAGAGTTTGCTCTAGTAAACATTGTAGCAAACTCTGTGATGCGCACCGTTCTCGCTGGCACCGACTGCACCTGCGCACGGTCGGCTGCACACATCACACGTTCATCACAGCACAATGTACTCTTCTCACTATGCCCTCATGGCGATGTTCGCATAGTGCCATTTCCTTTGATCCACTACTCGCCTCTCACTTGCTGCTCATTCGCACAAACATGTTTGGTCAAGTCAGCTCACACTTGCACTGGATTACAGTCACTTTGTTCGCGTACAATAGAAGCGGACGATGGTGAACAAGGTCCCAAACGGACTGTGTGCACACACAGTCCAGAAGTTTTCGCAAGGAGTCCTCAAAGTTAAACAAAAGTGTACACTTCACAGAGTTGCCATCGCAGGAAGCCAGCCCAGTTAGTGCCACTTCCTCCACTAGTTGTAACTAAGGACAGCTAAAGCTTCTTTTAAATGTTTAGGCCAATTAGTTTTATATTTGTCTTAAGATAGACAAGATTATGCAATAAATAAAATACAAAATTCCTCTTACTTTTGTAGCGTTTCCTGCCTATGATCTCCCGAATGACGGCTTGCCCATCGGAGATGTTGTGGTTCTTGCGTATCAGCGCAGTCACGGCGTCGGCATACAGCATCACCGAGTCGAACAGATACGATGCATACTGCGTGATGTGCTGCACAGAGAGAGGCGATGGAAGAAATAGAAGAATGTGGCAAAATTTTGAGCAAAAGTTCGTATTAAGGAGGGACATGGTTCTTAGGGCTCCCTCATTTATTTTTGAACCAAGTGTAACAGAAATTGGCATGCTTACTTAGTTTGTTCTCCGGATTCTAAAAATGTAGTTATTTTTTCTGTAGCTTTATTAGTTAATTAAATAATCAAGATAACAATTTGTATTGTTCTTACCATAATAGAAAAATAACCACCTGTCAAAAATTTATAAATAATATAGGAATTGACAGTAGAAAGCATAAGACCTGCAACATAAGAAGCACTTTTTTGAATGAGTCATTATTTCTTACTTTACAGTACACTAAACTTCACAGCCCTGAATGTGGCCATTGTGTGGTCACACAGAAGACTAGTTTGAAAAACTTGCATCAAGAGAAATCAAAATCTGCTTCCTATGTTGTGTGCTCCAAACATACAGCTGCAAAATAAAATATTCTGCTATCTGTAATAGTTTCAGATATATTGCAGTAATTTTCATGCAGGGTGTACAAAATTGCCATTTTGAGAAAATGAAGAAAACAAAGAATTCTAACATTTTTAACTGAAAAATGTATGCACTTATAAATACATAACCATTGACATATAAATGAATGCTAGAAAGCCTAAGGAGTGCAATGCTGCAAGCTGATCGAAAATTGAACGAGTACTTTTCGAAATACAGCACAGTAATTGCATGTAACCAAATACAGAAATTTTTATATTAGAATAAAAAAAATGAATCTGCCCATTAAAAATAGGCTCCCAGCATTGTTTTTGTGCACATTTAGCTACATTGTGCAAAAACAATCACAGCTCTAGCTGTCCTAGGTCCACTTTTACCGAACAAGCAAAAGAAAGTGGTCAAAATCTGCGCTTCGAGAATAATGCTGTTAAAACTTAATTTCGCTGTTCCGAGGGAAAAATATCATGACACACATACTTTTAGTCAGTTAATATGCACCGGGAATGTAATAGGACCGATTGTTTGTACGAGCGTGTCGTTTCTTCTAGTCCTGTAGCAAGGTGTCGCCGTGAGCTCGTCTGCCGCGAGGCCGCTTATCAGTTCGATGACTGTACTGACGGCGACGTGCGACAAATGTGCGTGCGTCATCCACGATCCGAACGCAGCGATGTTTTCCGACTTGTCCAGAATAAGTTACCCGTAAGTGTCGCGAACCAAAGTTGCTCCCTCGCTCATCAATTTTGAGGCTACACAAGTGCCGAGGTGCAAGTGACAAGGTTCCTTTTGGCGTTGCACAAGTGGTTGCCAGACTGGAAGGATGGTTGTTGCCAGACTGCCACTAAATTTGGCCGAGAAGTTTTTTTTTTTTTTTTCACGTAAGACTGCCGCATTTTTGAGCGGAGATCGCGACAGCGTTGCGAACACGTCGTTAAAAGCAGTCTACCTATTGCGAAAAGCCTCCATTGCGAGGGCTGCGAGCATGTTTACTGCGAACGGATTGACTTTCAGTTGTTGGCCGACGCGCGGCGTACTCCTCTCTGACGACCCGTCGCGCAGTTCAAGGTCCTTTCGTCAGGCGGGGGGAACCACGACATCGGCGGGTTTAGCGATAAGACTGCACTTCCGTTCCGTCACTTCAAAGATTGATATCTCTGGTAGCTTCACTTCTGCTTTTTACTTGCCGTCCTCTAACTGATGAGGCTGCAAAACACAGCCGTTCTCAGTAACGTTGTCGGCAACCAACGGGCTCGTACGTGAGTTAGGCCTACGTCGGTGACTGCCGTTGACCGCGTCGAGTTCGTTATCCTCTTTGTCATGAGCCATAGCGGGGATCTTTCTGAAGTTCACAGCGAACGAACCACCGCCAAACCCGCTTCACAAATTACTGTAGCACGGAAATTCTTTACTGCCGCAAGCAGTCAGTAGCACTATGACAAAATGGCGCATGTCCGTGCGCGTCACGATGGTGAAGCAGACGGCGAAAGCGCCCTTTGGCCAATCGGATGCCTAAATTTGGTCACGTGCCCCAAGTAGCCAATTGAATCGCGCGCTAGTGCTTCTCGATGACGCGTTTTTGCTAAAAAAACAATGAGCAAGGTGAGCCAGCAGTGGCGGGAAATTGAAGATGAAGAACGACCCTTCCAAACGAGACCAAGATGAACACGATAGGTCGTGTGTAACGGCAACAGTTTGGCGCGGAAAAAGCGCAATTTTAGCATCAATTTGCGCTCACATTCATCTCACAAGGATGTTATAAATTGATTTTGCGCCAGAAATAATGACGTGAGAAGCTAGAAACTTCTCAGATAAGTGCAAAAGCAAGCGCAGATTTCGAAAATGTCAGCTTCAAAAAGTCAATTTTTTTGCGATTTTTGGCCTTCTAAGACCCGTGTACCCCCCTTAATACTCAAGACTAAGCATACTTGCGCAGCCACAGAAAAAAATAATAATGAAAGAAGTAATCAAATATTTCTTTCTACAGTTACTAAGTAACCGAGATGAAACACACACAATAACTAAAAAAATAAATGGCAGTTTAGGACCAGACAGTGAGCAAGGAAATATAATATCACACACGCAACGTAGAGGCAGGTTGGAGCCGAGTGTCAAAAAAGGCATGACGTGGCTTATCAAACATTAAAGAGAAAAATGAACCACAATTTGGCGTGGTCACGTAATTGCATATAACTGCTCCTCTAATTTGGCGTCTGGCCGAGTTGCTTTACTTCAAGGTTCTCAAACACGAATATGGCCTGCGACCCTCTCCCTTGTGGCCCTCGGCCCTCACATGACTGTCTTCACCCCATATTTTTTATCATTTCTTTTAATAGGTATGTTCCTCAGCTGCACAAGTGTGACTGGCCTAAAGCCTTGTTTTCGTGAGGCACCCCATGTTGTCACTATGTCTTGGAGCATAACCGGGAGACAGAGACAATATTTCAGAATCGCATTCAGATTTCACTCATTTTAAAGATAAGTATTGGCATGTCGTTGGGATCCAGGAAGCAAACCAAATATTCTTCAGACATGATGGGTAAAAAAAGATATTCAAGTGGTATTTTTTCAAAATGGCAACGTCTTCCAACAATTTGTGCTCACTCTCCCCTCTCACGTGGCCTGTGTCACGTGGCCTGTGTAACACCGGACAAGCATGCAGACGGCATATGTTTCAAATAGAACAGCTCTGCTGTTATAACACAATGAGCCAGTCCGACAGAAAACGGTGAGCGACGCATGAGGACATGCACCTTCTTGAAGATAGTCGGTCCAGGGGGGAAGTTGAAAGGTTCCTTCTGGTTGTACTCGCGCACTTTCTCGATGAACTCTGAGTACGAGTCACCAGCGGGAGGCCTGGGCAGGATCACTAGCAGCTGACTGCACGCATCACTAAGAGCACGGATGTCCTTCTCGGGTACCTTCCCTGCGGAGAACGAGTTGGGAGAACTTGGTGTACGATCTGGCAACTGGGAGTCTACGAGTCTGGAATGAAAACGTTATTCTGTTTACACACCCAACCGGGAGTAACTATGTGTTACTGGTGCAGTGTTAAGCCCTCATCAAGTGAGAACAATAAAACGATGATGAGACACAATTGCAGGAGAGAGTGCATGACTTGGTGATCGCAATGTACTTGTTTACAGACAAAAAAGAGGTAGGCTCTATTTTCAGCCATTCACCTGTCACGGTCTTGCTAGCTAGTATCCACTCAATAGTTTTTCTCGGCTCATGAAAACTACACATACTAATATTAGTCGAAGGTTTGTCAAGTAGCGATGGAAGAAACCCTTACGAAATCAATTAGAAAATTGAAGTTTTTCACCTAAAATGAGCAAAACAAACGTCTTTATGTATGAGAATGTCAGTCATCTCAAACACTCAAGAAATGTGCAATGTCATCAGATTTAGTAACTGCAGAGTACTCATGCCAATTCTCTGCAGGCGGGACTGCAATAGCAGTGCTTGGAGCCGAGATATTTGCTTGGGTTGTCGTTAACTATTAATGCAAAAAATTGTGAGTGGCAGATCTTAAAACTATGCCTTATACATTAGTGTTGTATGCTCACTTACGACCACATGCAAGATGGCCTACCGAAAAAGTTCATGTTGAAGTCCTCCCACGAGTGGGTGTCATGGTCAATCATGATGACCAAGTACTCTGCCTTGTCCGTCAGACCACGCATGCGCATGGTGATGAGCAATGTCTGCAGGTCCCGGTAGTTGCCCAAATACACGTAGACTGCGGAGTTGAATGTTATATTTATTATTAGCATAAAGAAAAGTGAGTGTTTGGCTCCAAGGTCTCAGCAATCATTGTGATAGCAACAAATTGAAATACACAAAGAATGACTAACACCTATCTCGTTTAGGAACTGATCAGTTGTAACGCTACAAAACGCCGCCAAACGAGAATACGGCCACTACAGCGAGCGAATCAAATTTTAGAATAAAGAAAAGTCGGGGCTTGGCTCCAAAGTCTCAGCAGTGAATGCAATAGCAACAAATTAAAATGTTATACAAAGTACGATTAGCACGTAACTCTTTTAGGAGCTGATCAACCGTGACGCTTCAAAACTCCTGCATACGAAAATACGACCACTTCAGTGAGCCAATCACATTTCGAGCTGTGCGTCGCTTCAATGCACATATCACGCACAGAGCTATGAAATGTCTACTGATACCCTCTAGAGATACGGTATGCATTGCCATGAACGACCACACCCTGCAAGTCAAGTACGTTTCCTCCAGAAGGCCATAGCCCATCCTCTGGCCCACATCTACAGCACACAATGAAAGACGAGCGGGCATACGCTCCTTGCTTGAGAAGCAATCAATGGCAGGCCTTGCCTGCGAGGCGACACTTTACCATGTGCACTTTTTCCACGACCAAGATGCCGACTATTTCAATCTTTACTTCAGCTGCATTCATCACCAGCGCTCGCACACTTTTACACCCACTCAAATACTATACGTGGGTTAACATTATCGATGTTTACTTTATATGAAAAAAAAGCTACAGGTGTGGGCACTAGGAAAGGGGGGGGGGGCACCGCCCCTCCCAGGCCACCTAAAAGGAGGGGGCACAAAATTTGCTCCCCCCCCTTTTGGCTTGGGTGCTGCGAAAAACCATGCCTCCCCATTCCCACTCCGATGGGAAAGCCTGCACATGCCTCTAATAAATGACGGTGAAGAAATGCACTGGCCGAGCGGGTGCAATAAACATAATTTACAGCTTTGCCGCAAAGGCAATGAACACGATAGCGACAAATTGGAAGGTCAAGCGAATAATGGCAAGCAAATCGAAACGTGTCCTGCGCTTCTCACGCACACATGACGCGCGAAACGTACTCACAGGTACAGTTGAACGCGAATAAGCGTCTCAGTTGTTACTTCCCTGTTTCTGAAAAGCGCGCCCTTTTCACAAACGGAGAAACTGCAGCGAGTGCAGTGACCTTTGTGCCCCGGGTAACTACAACATCGTTACGGCTAAAGCCCAAGGCGTAGGATTCTCCCTACCGCGAGATAAGCACGCGCACGCCTGAGCGTCCACGCCCCCCCCCCCCCCCCCTTTCCGCGGGGCAAAGTACCTGTGGGAAATGAGCGATCCGGCGACGCGCGTACATTGCGCCATCTCGCTGGTAATAGTGGAAACGCGATAGTTCCCCCGAGATGCAAATAGCAAGCGGCAGCTTGCCTTTTAAACGTTGAAGGAGGTGCTCCTTCATGGCTCAGTGGTTAACGCCTCACACTAAATTTAGAGATCGGACGTTCAATTCCGCGCGCCGGAGTATTTATGGACTACTTTTTTTCTTTCTTGCTTTTTCATGTATATATATACATACACATATACGGTGAATGACGGCGGCCACGACAGAAAAAAAGCTTCGGTTTTTGTTGCTCGATTGAAATAACACTACGGTTAACACTACACGAGTTTAGACTAACAAAGAAATGATGGTTCACCGCGGGTAAAGCACTGCGGCCAAGGCCATGTTAAACTAGCGAAAAGTGAGAATGTAGTTTTCGAATTTCGCGCCCGAATTTCTGCGCTTCAACGTGTATGCGAAGAGACCATTACAAAAGCCTTCTTATAGCGAAGCTCTTCAAGATTACTTTGTGCTGTGGGCGTCATTGACGTGGTCGCGCTTAAAAAAAAAAAAAACTCACAGTTTGGAATTATGGCAAAATAAAAGAGAGAGGGGTTGCGCGCCCCGTGTGACACGCCCTGCATGTCTAACACCATTAACCATGGGAATCAATGTTACGCGGAGATAACGTGACCGCGGTATATATTTTTTTAAGGAGCGAAGCTCCTTGAGCGCGCACTCCGCCGTCGTCGTCGAAGCTTCCTGCGCCGGGCAAGCGAGCCGAGCAAGAGAACGGGTGCCCACTGCCGGTGCAGCGGGACCGCAGGCGGGGGGCGGCAGATAACAGGCGCACAACCACCACCGAGCGCAGCTGACGCCCTCTCTACCCGGCCACCCTTCCGCGTACATCGAAGCCAGCAGCGAGATCAGGCGCATAGTCTTCTGCATCCCATTTCTAAGTAGCTTCACTGATCGGCCACATTCGTAAAAGGAGCTGTTAGTTTTATCGAAGGAAACGCTGCGTAGTGATGATACGCACAAATTTTGTACGCATAATCATATGTCAAACAGCCGCATATGCCTGCTACTCGATGCCAAAAGCCACATGGGTAAACATTAGCAACACCAGAAATGGTAAGCTGATAGCTTGTGCTCGCCTTGGACAACGCTAAGTAAACTTCAGTGGTAGCACTTAACCAAAATTGGCCTTCACCATTCGTGGCACCTGTGTCATGGGAATACATATGTAGTTATTACAAAATTAGCAAAACGCTGAAACCCCAACTGACTCTTCACCAACATTCCGAATGCATACCGTCTTATTCCAAACCAATTTCGAGACCCTTCGTGGGTCTGTGGTAGAATACTTTATTGGTACGCGGAACGCTCGACTTAGATTCCTGGACTCCGATTTCTGCTGTTTGCATCCGTCCGGACGACGCTTCCAATGCAATTTCTCTTAAAGCTCTCACATTTGAAATACCAAAGTCTGTTCTCGCCATTCCACTGTCAACTGTCTGACCCGTGTGGCACATACCCACATACCTGGGGGGACATACCCGCCTACAGCTGCCCATGGTATACGGGATGCTGTATTATTTTAGGTACACGGGTATGCGTCATACGTGTGTGGAGGAAAAGGCTTGACCGCGTACGTCCCCGGCTTATCACGTTGTTCATGCCATGATCAACCCAACATGCATAAGCGTCAAATTCCCTCACCCTCGCGTACTAATTTGGGTCTATCCCAAGTAGAGACATGAAGACAGCCCTGAAAATATACATGCATGTTTAAAATGCCTGAAATTCGCTAACGAACGATTTGAATAAAAAAGAACCATAGTAGCTCACGAAAGTGTCTGCGTACTTGCCACTAGCAGGTGCCATCGAGATCTGTGACGTCACGGCGACTGTTTTCAAGATGGAAGTCGCTGTCTGCATTTTGTTTGGGACGCCTAATATAAGAGACATGTTTGCGTAATTTTTAAAGTGTATTTTAATGCGAAAAAAATTACGCCAGCACAATAGCGCGAATTACGACAGAACATAAAACTAGTAACAGTGCCTAGAACATATTAGACCAGTAGCTACAGGGATACCGTGGACTAGGGATCCCTCCGTCCTATTGTTTCTGAAGCCCTTCAGATGCTCCTTATCCATGCCTCTCACAGTAAACATATCAATAAACGTTTACCACCAGAACCTAACAAGTTCTAGGCACTGTTAGAACTTCTAGAACAACGGATGGGGCTTGCTGCCTATAAGAGAAATATAGCTGCCGAGAGAAGAGCATTGATGCTGAGCATTCGCATTGCCGTGAAGCTTTGCACCCCAAAATGGAGGCCCTGCGAGCGCCTACGGAGGTAGTTGAGTTTCCGATTTAGTCCAAAGTTTTATCCAATACAGAAACAACAACTCGGTAAAACTACGTTTATTCAGTCAGACAAAAATTAAATTAATGAAGTATAATATACGAAATAACATCGTTTATACCAGAACCAGTAGCTTCCCCTGTCGTGGCCGCTCAGTGCCTTGCCTGACAGCCACGTTCGTGCCTGTGGGTTTTCACATCTTCGAGGGTGAAGAACAATCACCGTGCCACGAATTTTACGTTTCAGCTGCTTAAGCGGTGAGAGAAAGCTGCCGCACACTGAAGGCATGACCCTCAAGAAGCATTTGAGGCCCTGCTGGAGCTGCGATATTTAGACGCCCACTGCAACTCTGGCAAAAGCCGGCAGCACGCCACATTCCAGCAGGACACAGCACGCTTGATGCCTGCTGGAACAGCTAATGGCAAGGAGGGTTCAGTGGTACCTGGCTTCTGGCTTCTTTGTTTCGTAGGTGTTGACGTTGCCTACCTCCTCTCTAACCACGAGAAAATGGGCAAGGACAACTGCTCGTCGACCACGTAGAAACCAGACATGGCCTGCCATCATCACGTAGCGCCACCCGCTGTCCCTGGGTGCAAATCCAATGTCACCCGCCTGTGACTTCGTGCATGACGTAAGATGGGCGGCCACATTCGACTTCGTCATGATCGTCGTGGTGGTCGTAGCAGACGAAGGCGTACGGGTCTTGATGCGACGCTCGAAGTTTTGGCCACCGGTTCCAAAAGAGGCTCATTCCAGGGTCACCAGGACCCGTGGTGAAGAACGCAGCCGATACAGAAGCAGGACGCCTCGCTCTATGTGCCCGACCTCACCCGATTCAATGAGAGCTTTCGACTCTTGCTCCACCCTCACAGTCACGACTTCGGAAGCGCCCGAGGCCCGCCAATCCTCGTTATCCGAAGCCCTGGCGGTGTCTGACGATGACCGAGCATTGATGTTCCGACTCGACGACGTCACAGGATTTGCCGGAAGCTGGTCACCTCGAAAGGAGCGGCGGCAAACGGGGCGATTCTGTCGCGTTTCGGGGAAAGTCGCACCAACGCTAATCTTGATCAGCTTCCTGCGCGTCGTCTTGAGAAGGGCGAAGAGTTCTGCAAGGTTCGCTCGCGCGTCGAACGGCAACGGCGAGTCGCTGGACCCACCGCGTGTCGAATCGAACAACGACCACGTCAACTTGAACTTTTCTCCTTTCCTGGAGCGATTCGGAGCAGCAGCGACGGTTGCCATGGCTCGAAGCTGGCCAGGCCCAGTGATGGAGTACG